AGTATTATATAGTGTACGAACGTAAAGAAAAGATATACATTAATCATCACGGTACCTTATGTTAGTATAGCCATACCACAGTTGAAGATTCTAATAAAACATAAAATAGTAACATTTTAGCATTTGCATCGTTAATATGCTTGCATAAATTCACAACAATAGAAACAAAAAAATTCTAACTGCACCGAAGCAAACGTAAAGCAGTAATTGCATGTGTCAAACTTTGAAAAACGAAGACCGATTTTTCTTCAATTTACCAGTACAAAAGCAGAAATTATTTTCTCAACAGAAAAGCCAAAGAAAGAAAGAATAACTAAAATGATGTTATCATTTCCATCCTCTGTTACATCTTATCCAGCTTTCAATCAGCTCAAAGAGAAAAGGACAGCAACAACAGACGCATGTGTGTTTTGATGCAATCGTGAAAGAACTAGTGCAGTAAAATTAAATATTTCTATAAGTTACATATTTAAAATTCAAAATAAGGTCAATTTGCAACCTCGTATTCATAAATGTGGCCCGAGTCTGGTTAAATTTGAAGTGTACATAACACGTGTACAATTCAGCGACTCTTACTAGACAGTAAAACTTCCCGTATAATTTTATAATGTTTACTTAGTGTAGTTGTGCCTGAATTAGGAATATTTATTAACTAACTGCACAGTCACCAAAAGAATAAACCTCGAGGAAAATGATTAATTACCTGGGCCTTGTCATTACCCAATAACTGCGTGATTTTTCCAGACCAGTAACAACCAGTAGTCCACCAGTCCACCAAATCACCCACCTTCCACGTGTCATTAACAACTACTGTTACTTCTGAAATCACACTTGGAATTTGCTTTTCAGTAGAAATAGGTGGGTAGGCTGGCCTTAGCATCAATTCTCTATGCTCTTTTGCCTTCGCCACATTGTAAGGAGGAACCTGAAAGAACTTCGTCCACTTCACTTCTGCAGAAACCAACAAGTAGAAACTGAAAGAAGTTGCTAAAAACAAAACAACTTAAAATAAATTACATCCCTCATGATATTTACGCAATTATATCTAATTACAGGTTACATCCGTACAATGTGCTCTCAAGAAAAGAAGACGAGAAGATCCCTCGTTCATAATAGGATTCTTTGAGCTTTAGAGGCAAGAATAATTCTGAACTGCATCTCATTATTTCCTATAGCACATTGTAATTCAGTCCCAAATCTCAATGAACATGAAAAGGGAAAAATATATTATAGTTTGTCTAATCAACTCCCGATATAACCTGAATTGCTGCCATACCTTTCAAATCGAGATAAAGCATAGTTTCAAATTTACTTCGCTAAACATAGTCAATCTCAAATTCATTTGGTTGGCCACACTTTCAGGGAAGCATAGCTGTTTCATTAGCAACAATTACTGCTTAACTTTGGGAGTACGAATGCTCTAACTACAGGATGTGATTCAGTACTATGGAGTCTCAAATAGTTGTCAGTAAATCCTTCAATCAATGGCTTTTAGAAAAAAAGAATCGAAGTAATTTTCCCAGATGAATCTGTTCACAATATAGTAAGGTGGAGCTATTGGACTGTCACTAACTACATTTACTAACTAACTGCTGTAAAAAAAAAGTTAATGGATAATAACTGTATCACACATTCTGAAACCAAAGAGAAATATATCAAATATCAACTAACGCAAGCTGCAGAGACTTACTTTCATCAGGGAAGTCGTAATATTCTGATACATATCCAAGGTTTCGATTTCTCTTTGTAATCTCTTTAATCTGACAGAAAACAATAATATTTTGTGTCAATACCCTAAAAAAATTAATTGCAGCTTGGCAGAACTAGGCACTACTCAGAGAAAATATGAAGACCTTAAGCAATTTTAAGCAGGAAAACTAAGATGTTCGCAAAACGACACCAAAACCAAATGTAAACAAAGTCCCAATCTTAAGAAAAGTGAAAATTTAAGTTCCAGATAATAATTGAACCAACATTATCAACCTGTTAAGAGTTTTAACTTTAACGCATTTCTACTTATTAACCATTCCAACAGATCTTAGCTATAAAACATCAGCCGTAAGTAATTTAAGCTCCAAGAAATGTAATGTATTTACAAAACACGAGAAATTTCAAATTCTTCATTACCCTGCATCGGAACCACGCACCACGATAACCTTTCTCGAAAGACCTTGCTTCAGCCAGCTCTCCAGCTTTAAAACATCGTTTAATTTTGTTCTCCATGAAAAACTAATGCCAAAAATTATATCCCTGCGAATACAGCCAACCAAAAACACACATCACCCCGCATACAGATGCCACTAATTAATTCCTAATGCAACATGCAACTAGAGCAGAGTAGAACAGAGTAATATAAGACTATAAATACCACAAAAAAGAAAAACAAATTAAATTAAAATTAAAATTACCCAAACCCCAGCTAACCATCTCCAACGAAATCATACTATGGATGTATATTTAATTTTAAATAGGGAAACCCTCCGATAAACCTCTTTCCCGCCTGGATACAATAATAATAAATAAAATAAATCCTGCAAAATGATTGTACAATGTACACAGACTTCTAATATTGAACAACGATCAAACAACATTGAATCCGATTCATACATTTGTTCAATAATATTTTGCAATAACAATCGTGTTTTTCTACTAGACCTAATTATTAAATTAAATGCGCGAAAAAAGCTGAAATTGAAGAAAACCTGAATTCCCGTTCTACGCCAGTAGATTTCACATCGGCAATTTACACTCCATAGAATTGAAACAAAAGCTTCGAAGATTTATAGTCATGGATTCGAACAGAAAAATGCCTAATCTGGAAAAAGAAAGAAAAGAATATATAAACCGTGGAAATATAACGCAGCAGTAGTCAGAAATTAGATTCAGTATAAATCGCGGAGAAGAAGAAGAAGAATATTATATAAATCGTTAAAAGTGTAAATCGTTGAAATATGAGTCGCTAATCGCTATAAAAGCGTGTTTTGAATTTATTTATAACAAATTGGGTAAATTACAACCACCCCTGATGTATGGTCAAATTACGAAAATCCCCCTCCTGTTTGAATCTTCTTGATTATATGGAATATTATCACTTTTGTACCCATTTTATCTCATTCGAGCTCTACATTTTGAAGCATGATGATCATAAGATGTGTTTTTTGGCTTGTATATATATATATATATATCAGATATTAGTGCATCAGAAAATGTATTTTTGCACAAAATGAGTACAAAGTAGAGAACATTCCAAATAAATCTAGATGATTATGTTGAATTTGACACTATAAGGGTGGATGTGTAAAAAGATTCATAATTAAGGGGATAGCTGTAATATCCAAATAAGAGGGGTTTTTTTGTATTTGACCATACAACAGGGGGTTAGTTGCAATTTACCCTTTTAATAGTAGATCTGGTCAACGTTAGTATGAGATTTCGAAAATCTTGTTGACTTTTCAAAATGTTAGTTGTTATTTATTAGTACAATCAAAAAAAATTAAATAAATAAATAAAATTGAAAACACATGTAGTATTTATATATTAGTATAGAATTTTTACTTGGTATATATTAAGGGTGTTCATACGGTAAAACCGTACCGATCTGTACCGAAATTTCGATATTTAAAAAATTTATACCATTTAACAACGATTTTTTACCGAACTATTGGGTACCAGTAAAATCGAAATATATTTTCTTATTTATTGAATTCGATATTCAAATTTCAATAATCGACCTTAAAAGAAAAAAGTGATTATCAATAGAGTATAATTTGTAAATAATTGAAAACATTATCAATCTATAAGTATTTTATAATTTTTTGTAACCTTAAAGGATTTAAAATAAAATAAATATATATTTATTAAATATTTCGGTGTTCGATACAGTAGTGGTGTTTGCAAATGATTTTTCAAAGTAATTATGAGCTTTTTTTTGTTCAAAATCAGTTTTTTTTAAACATTAAAAAACTCATAATCACTTTAGAAAATTGTTTGCAAACACCACCACAATATGATTTACCGGACATCAATGTTGTATACCGTACCAAATACCGTAATGCAAAAAAAAAAAAAAAAAAAAAAAGTAAATAATGAACCAAATTTTCGATCTAGTTCAATTGCTTTACCGATCGAGTAAACATCCTTATATTATACTAGCCCACTACCCACTATTTAAATTCAGTTAATGTCCGGCCCATTATTGTCAAGCCCATTGAAAAATAAAATAACATATTTTCATTTAATTTTGGGGCATGCTAAATCCCACACTAAAATTTACTAAATCCCCCACATAAATTAAAAAAAAAATTCTCTCTCTACTCAAATTATTTCTAACTTCTCTCCAAAATGATATCATCCAAGTCACTCAGAATTCATTAATTTTTTACGTGAATATTCAAAAAAATGAGTCCGTTTTATTTAATATTTATTCAATTTCATTAAACCTTTTAACTATTCAAATTCATATCAATTCGAATATTTTCCTCAAATTCCAACTTTATTTTAGTTTGAACATGTGAAGATTTTTGTCAAATTCGAACTTGAAATGCTAGGGATGTTTTTAGTGTGTGATTTTGTGGAAAAAATTAGGGAAAAAGAAGAAGAGTGGGAAAGGAGAAGAGAAGACTTTGGAGAGAGAAATATTTTTAATTATGTGCATGATTTAAAAATTGTGTAGGATTTAGCATTTCAGTTTAATTTTTGGGAATTATATTTTTAGTGATACACTTGTATGAATTTAAAGTGAGTAACTATTACTTTAATTGAATATTATCATTTGATTGCGGACTTCAACTTTAATTATGAATTTAAATTAGTTTGAATGTTCGATACTGCCAGCCAAAAATATTACTAGCTACTGCTATATTTAGTTAATATAACTTAATATTTAGTAAATAATTGCTTAAATCTAAAAGTTGAGGGTGTTCACTAATATCACTAAAATCAACTTTAAGAAGATAATTTGTAAGTTGATGTGTTTATAAAAACAAACTTTAAATTTGAGCTTATTTAAAAAACATAAGTAGAAGTTAGTGATTATGAGTTGAATTTAGGATCAATGTTTGTTTGTAAAAATAGAGGATGTTCGTAAATAGTATGAAAATCAACTTTAAGTAACCAATAGAAAAATTACAGCGTGAGTAAAGTAAAATTTAATTTCGAGCTTATTGATTAAACATATAAATTGTTCTAACAACTAGAATTTAAATAAGGGAAACAATGGTGATAACCAAATGCATATTTAGGTGGTGTTTGCAAATGATTATTTAAAAGCAGAAGTTAGTGATTGTAAGTTAAGTCAGTTTTAAATGTTTATTTTAAAAATTGGGGGTGTTTGCAAATATTCCGGAAAATGAACTTAAATAGAAAAAACAGGATTATGGGCGCTTTTAAAAAAATAGTTTGAAGCAAATTATTTTAAGAAAAGCAAAAACAAAGTTGATTTTGCAAACACCTGAAAACAGATTATGAGCAAAAAAAGCTCATAATCACTTTCAAAAAGCGTTTGCAAACACCACCTTAATTGGTGACAAAAGTGATTTTAAATTGGAATAGTGTTTCTCAAGCCTCGACTTAAAACTGCTTAATTTAAGAGAAACAAAAATAGAAATTAGTGTTACGAACATTTAAAAAATTGATGAGTACGAGTAAAAAAAAAAAAAACAAACTCATAATTACTTTCCAAAATCTTTTGCAAAAATACGACCTTAACTGTCGACAAAAATCGGATATTATCATATATAAATAATGACATAAATGCCAAATGAAACTCGAGTTCAAAGAGTCGTCGATCTACAGATAATTTTGTAATTACGGCTTAAAACGACATATTTTAATAGAAACATAGGCAAAAGTTATATTTACAAAACTTAGAAAAACTATTACAAAATAATAATATCTTTCCTAAAGTTTAACAAAAAAACACTTAAATATGAATTCGTACAAATATAATAAGTTTTTGGGAAGTTATACGAAAAAATGACGTCATTATATAGATAAATTATATATAAATATAAATATATAAATATATATATTAAATAAATATTAGGTAAATATTTTTTATGCCCTCCGCCTCTGCTCTTCTTGTGCTGCTCTCCCCTATTATTTCCCAATCCGTCTCTCAAATCTCTCTCTCTCTCTTTCTAATTTTTTCTCTTTCCGTTAAATAATTATCTAATAAAAAGCTTCATTTTTTCTGCTTGTATTAAGGTCTGTTCATCACTCTACGCCCTTCGATCTGAATTGAACTGTTTTCTTTAATCATTTTCCATTTTTCCATTTCCGATATCAGTTTCTTGATTTGCTAATTTTGTTTTTCTTTTTTTTTTGATTTAATTTTCTATTTTTTGTTTGGGTTTTATGAATTAGGGTTTCTGTTTGTGAATTGGAGTAATTTGGGAATTAAGCGGGATTATGTGTGGTCTGTGATTAGATTGCTGGTTTGGAGTTTTAAGTCAGAATAATCAATTGATTTTTTTATTTTGGGGTAGATTACATAAAGAGGTTTAATTCCGATGGAATGGATATTCGTTACAACGGATGAAGGTGTTTGTGTGAGATTTTTATTTTTTCAATCTTTTATTGATCAATCTGGGATATAGGAACTAGGGTTTAATTGGGATTTTGTGGTTTCTGAAATGGGTTTTGATTAAGAACTTCTTGAGGTATTCAATTTGTTTAAATTCTTGAAAAATTATTCTGGTCTTGCATTTCATTTGTTTTTAATTTATTCAGCTTGAATTTATTTTGAAAATCGAAGTTATCCTTACCCCAACAATGCATAATTTTTTGATTTATTTAATTAAACCTACATGTTCAAACTGTTCGGATTTCAAGAATTGTTTTTTTATCGGATAATATTTTCTTAGATTTATTTTTTATTTTGCGAAGCGCAGGGTGAAGTGGCGGGAGTTGAGGACTGGGGGAAATGGCTGGGGTTGCAAGTGATGACTCTGGGGGAGGAAGGTCATTTGACGGGGGTTCGAGTGAGCAATATCAAGCCGGGGAAGCATTGGCCGAATGGAGGTCTTCGGAGCAAGTCGAAAACGGGATACCGTCAACTTCACCCCCGTATTGGGACAGTGACGACGACGATGACGGAGGTGTGCCCATTTGTTACCGTATACTGATTACACAACGGCGTGATATTTTTTTGAGGATTGCGTAAATGTGTTTGACATGTGTCGAAACAGTATCGCCGTATTTATTATCTTTACTAGTAACTATTTTAGAAATATAGGTATCATTTAATGTCAGATGGGTTATAGAAGACGAACTACCGCCCACTTGCCAAAAGATGGGAAAAGAAAATGGAATGTAAGGAAAATCGAAACACCAGAACTAATCCACGAGTATTTGGTAGGCTCGTATACTGGACAAGTGAGATTGTAGCATTTATATAGCTAGCGACTCTTAATTTCACCACTTTGGTCGGTATTTTGTGTAGCTGCGAAGAAAGTTTACAAGTACTAATGCCGCAGGTTGTCTTAACAGAAATCAACTTAAGTTGTAACTGTTTTCTATGATCTCATCGAGCTGTTCAATAGTTAGGGAATTTTGTGGTTATGTTTTTGGATCCAAAAACAGTAAATTAATCATAAAATTCTGCTCATTTACAATTTAGCTTTACATCATTATTCATGGCTCAATTAGTGAAGTATTGAAGTTTGTAGTCTAGTCGCCTATCTCTCTCCTTTTTGTTCCCTTAAAGTTGAAATTGACCATGTTTGAAGAAAACGCGTATTCGTGAAATTTTCTGGACTTTGAAAATCTCTGTTCCAACAAGGATTTATATAACTTTTGTCATATTTATTTCACTTTATTGCCTTAATCCTGGTGCAATTTTATTTGGTGCTGGCATCGTTGTTCATTTTGGTTTCTGTCATTTTGCAGGGCCGAAACCTTCCGACTTGTATGGAAAGTATACATGGAAGATTGATAAGTTCAACCAAGTTAATAAAAGAGAATTACGGAGCAATGCATTTGAGGTTGGCGGCTATAAATGGTATTGTCTTCTATTTCCTTCTGAGTAATTGTTTGGTCATTTTGCACTATCGGTTGCCTGGTCTTTTTACACTAGACCCGACGACTTGATATTTTGACTTATTTCGGTCTTCTTCAGTACTGCCCATGTTTTTTTTCCCTTTCATATTCTGTGTATATTATACAAGAAAAATAAATTTACAATTTTCTTATAAAATTGATCAAACTCAAACTGTGGATTCTAGGTATATATTGATATATCCTCAAGGCTGTGATGTTTGCAATCACATCTCTTTGTTTCTTTGCGTTGCCAATCATGACAAGCTTCTGCCAGGTATGATAACATTGACCGGAATGACTCGTTACCGAAAAAAAAAGAATGTATGTTAACTTGGAAATTTTTATGATGATATGCTTTTTCCTTATGAATAGGGTGGAGTCACTTTGCGCAATTCACTATCGCTGTGGTGAACAAAGATCCGAAAAAATCAAAATATTCAGGTAGTTCTTCACTTACTATCATTATAATACGGATTTTTGCAATTGGAGCTTAACTCCCGCTCGTACACCAGGCCCTTTTACACATTCTCTAAATATACAGATACGTTACACCGTTTCTGGAAAAAGGAGCACGACTGGGGATGGAAAAAATTTATGGAGCTGACAAAGGTGAAGGATGGATTTATTGATGCTGAAAATACCTTGATTATTAAAGCTCAAGTGCAAGTTATAAGGTACTCTTTGTTAACTTGTAATGGTTTATGCAGTTGACTGGGAAGATTAAGACAGAAAACAATATAAAATATATACACAAAACACCTAAGTGCATAGGGAAATTGCCTTGGATGGTTTAGTCTGGATTCGGTAGTCCTTTAGTTTTTAAGGAACTATACTCGGCATACCGCATTTACCTCCATTTGATTGAGCTTGTTACCGTTGGTTTCGTTCCAAATTAAACGCTAACTGTTGGCTTTGTAGGGAGAGAGCAGAGCGGCCATTCCGTTGTCTTGACTGTCAGTATAGAAGAGAGCTTGTACGAGTATATTTGACGAATGTGGAGCAAATTTGCCGGCGTTTTGTGGAAGAGCGACGTTCCAAACTTCTCAAGCTGATAGACGATAAAGCTAGATGGTCCAGGTATTCTATGTGCATGTCTGATTTTATTGGTTTCATTATTTTTCCCTTTTTGAGTAATCTGTTGCAGCAATTTATGACCCAGGGCTTCCTATTGTAAAGCAAAAGAAACTAGTTTTAATTAAATATTATTATATTATCGGAATTTGCTTAATCTGTTTAGAGATACTTTTGTTTCGTATTTATTAAGAGAAGATAATATTTTTTGAAATTTTATGTAGACTGAAAAAAGGTCCCACCTTTTGTTCTACCAAATGGTTGATGGTAGTTGATATGTATATTTACAGTGGCATATGATCAGATACGTATGAATTCTAATATTATATACTTGCAAATTGGACTTTATTTTCAGCTTTAGTGCTTTCTGGGGGGATATGGATGAAAGTTCGAAATTCCGCATGGCTCGAGAGAAATCAGAGTCAATACTGAAAGTAGTTGTGAAACATTTTTTCATTGAAAAAGAGGTCACGTCTACCCTTGTAATGGATTCCTTGTATAGTGGTCTCAAGGCTCTTGTAGGGCAGTATAAGGAAACGACGAAGGTCAAGCAATTGGGAAACGAAGAGTATTCGGCTCCGATTGTTCGCATGGATGAAGATATGTTTGTGCTGGATAAGGATGTGCTTCTGTTGCTTAAGAGAGCTGCCACGGCACCCTTGCCTCCAAAGGATGATAAGGGCCCTCAAAATCGTACAAAGGTATGAACACGAATTAATTTGTTTATAAAGTATATCAAGTGGAGCTACGATCACACTAAGAATCTTTGGGAACTGTATGCGCTTATTTATTGTCGACAAAATTGTGCATGAACAAAACCTAGCTGATTTTACTTTATTTTTGTATCCTACCCGGTTCTTGAAATTTTATTGATGAACGATTGCTGTGATTCTACTTGGCACGATTATTGATTTTCCTATTTGGGGATAGCATCTAAATTTTGTATGCATTAATGCATTATTCTATTGTTAATTTTTGATTCCATTTGTTTGTTTGGGTTGTTTCGCATCTCAACTGGCCAAATTTCTTGTTTTGCGTGTCTGGTTCTAAGATTCTTTGTTATTAGGATGGGACTCCTGGAGAGGAGTTTAACAGAGATTCTATTGAACGTGACGAGAGGAGACTTACTGAATTAGGTCGCCGGACTATCGAGATATTCATTTTAGCTCATATTTTCAGGTAATGCAAGTTAGATACTACATGTTTGTTTTGAAGCACTTTTTGTATTACGTACAATTTTTATGGCAAGTTGGTCTCGTTGATTCTTCATCCCTTTTACTTATTTTCTGCTCCAAACATAGACTGTAAAAATTGTGGTCTCTAATGTTTTTATTTGCAAATTTATGCACAACTTTGCCCTTTGTCCTTCTATCAATCGATATTGTTTTCATTTTCCATAATTTTTGGCTTTTTTTTTGGTGCTGCTGCTACGGCAGTAAAATTGAAGTTGCGTACCAGGAGGCCGTTGCTTTAAAGAGGCAAGAAGAGCTCATACGTGAAGAGGAGGCCGCTTGGCTTGCCGATATCGAGCACAAAGCGAGGCGTGGTGTAGCGGATAAAGAAAAGAAGTCTAAAAAGAAGCAGGTTTGTCAAAATCATCTTCTTACCTTCTCGAGTCTTCCAGCTGGTCGATATAGTGATTGTATATTTATTTTAAGTTCGATTAGTTAAATATTAAAAAGTCAGTAACGATAGACTTAAATTATAGGGCTATTTTGACACTGGTGCATATGCAAAAGAACCCTATGTTAAAAATATGAGTTTGAAATATTTTATCGAGAGCAATTCACTTCTCGATTCTTGTATGCACACCTTCGGTTTGAAAATTGTTATGCCAATTCTTGAATCATAACTTCGTGTTTTTATTATAGGAGGAGATGAAAGATCTTTCCCTTAGACAGGGTAAAGTACAAAACATAGTATCATTAAAATTTACGTTTTTCAGGGCAAACAGAAACGAAATAATCGCAAAGGAAAAGACAAGAGCAGAGACGACAAGTCCAACAGTGTTGCACGAGACAAGATCGAGGAAGAAGAAGATATCATAGACGCCGAACCAGAAAGGGTTGTAATCGAAACACCCGAAGCTGTTGAAGATGATTCCGATGTATCGGATTCTATAGACCGTGTTCCGGAAATACTTCCGCCAGATTCGGAAGACACTGATACCTCGGAAGTGCATCCTCCAACAGAAGCTAGTTCGAGCGTGCAAAACGGAACAGAAGGTAGGAGTTCGTCTGTAGTGGACGACAGCTCGTCCACTTGTTCCTCCGACTCGGTTCCTTCTGTGGCAATACCCGTCTCTCAAAAAGTTAACTCCCGAAACCACAAAAATAAAAAGTCTCCTATCAGGTAGTAATCATCTCCTCCCTACACTGAGTTGAGGATTTTACTGCGTTGATTTTATGGTAATTTGTTTTTACAGCTCGTCTGTTCAATTTCCTAGGGGGAGGAACTATCAAAGCAAGGTGATGGCTTCTGAAACAGCTGAGTTGGTTAACGAAGAACCTAGTCAACTGTCTGAAGCTGCGCCAAATGGCGGGCGTACAGTCGATGCTTCTCGGAGCTCCAAGGTTGTTGAATCTTTATCTCGGGTACCCGATCGTTCGTTTCAGGAGAGGATGGTTAATGGAGCTAAGCGGCATGTGGGAAAGAAGGTGTTTCTCTTCATAAATTTGATGCACTATATATGCATGGACGACGATGAACACTTCTGCTATCGTTTTTTTTTCTGGACTTACTCGAATAATCGTCGCTATGCCACGTTTTATGGGCAAAAGAGCTAATTTTTTCTGGCTTCTTTGTTATAGGAGGAAGAAACTGCTCCGGTGAACGTAAATATCAGGGCTAAAGACGCAGATGTCGAAGTACCTGTGGTTAGATCAGCTCGTGTAACGTCTCCGCCAAGAAGTCGTTCGGAAAACGTTCCATCTATTGCTGCTGTAAATTTGGAGTCGAAGCTTAACAATGTTGGCAGTGATCTGCCCACAGTTAAGAAACCTTCTTCCAACAGCCCTAAACAAGCTAATAGATCAGCCGTTGCGTCAAATTCAGCTGAAAATACAGCCGCATCGAAACCAGAAACGCCGAAGCTCGCAACTCCAAAAATGACAGAAAAGCCCTCCACTCACAAATCACACACTGTAAGTGAAAAGCCTCCCCCGACAACACAGCATGTGACGACGACTGCCTCCACAGCAGAAAAGCCGACCATTCCGCCAATTCCTGTTATGTCGAGACCCTTGAGCGCTCCTCTAATTCCGGGCCCCAGGCCCAGTGTGTCTGTTGTTTCTGGGCCCCACACGCAAACAGCACCCGTATTGGCCCGTTCGGTCAGTGCCATCGGCAGGCTCGGCCCGGAGCCCACTGCTGGTGCTGCTGGTGCTGGTGCACCTTCGTTTCAGAGCTACGTACCGCAGTCTTACCGTAACGCAATCGTGGGCAGCCCTTCGCCCGCCTACACACAGAATTATGCGCCGAGTTCGTCAATTTCATATCCGCAGTTGTACCCAGATAGGGTCGACCCGAATCAGATGAAACCGGGTTTCTCGTTCGGGATGCTGAGTCATCACCACCACCACGAAATGCTGCAGAACGCCGCACCTCCTCCCCCTCAGCCTGCTCCTCCACTCTGGATGGAGATGCCGAGCTTCGACTCGTACGTTCCGGTACATTCCAGAATAAACCACGAGGACCAACTGCCAGCTGGCGCCTCCACGGACGAGTTCTTCCCCCACCTTGACATCATCAACGACCTGCTCGACGACGAGAGCGGGAGCTCGAGCTACCAAGCCTTCGGCGGACCCCACTACCTGAACCGGCATTATAGCTTCCCAGGTGGCGGCGATCCACCCGGCATGCCAGGTGGCGCGGGATCCTCGTGTAGGTTCGAGAGGACAAGGAGTTATCCGGACGAGGGTGTGTTCCAGCATAGCTACGGTGCACCTGTGGGGACCACGTACGACGCGTTGAGGGATGGGATTGTTCCTCCACAGGCGGCTGGCCCGCCACGTGGAGGGTATATGAACGGAGCCCAGATTGGGGGGTTTTATCCAAACCAGTGGCAGGTGGCGGGTTCGGATTCGCCGTATGTAAGTGTAAGGAACGCGGATAATAACAACGATGGTGGATATCCGTATCATCATCACCATCATCATGTAACAGACTATCAAAATGTTGCCGGCGGGGTCAACGGCTACACAGTGTTTCGACCGTCGAGCGGACTCTAGAGAGAGAAAGAGGGTTTGATTCTGTGGTAAGAGAGATGTTCTGTAAAGAGTTATTTCTGGTATAATTTGGCCCCTTTTTTTAGTTTTAATTTGAAAATGTTGGGGGAAGGTGTTTCTTGGGCCTTGTTAGATTTCAAACAAATGTTTGCCCATGATTTTTAATATTTAATAACTAACTTGAATTTTTATTATGATTTGCTTGGATCAGTAGGTTCACTTTTTTTTTTTTTTGTATTTGTGCATTTAACCCATTTGTATTTTTTGTAGACATCAATAATACAATTAAATCTCTATAAATTGATACAGTTTGAATTAACAAAATTATATTAACTCAAATATTGAATTATTGAACCAACAATTTAGTACATTATATCGAGTCGGGATTGAAAGCAGTATTAAAGCGATGTTATTAATTTATCGAGATTCTACTGTATATATCAAGCGATGTTATTAATTTATCGAGATTCTACTATATTTGTACAAGACAATGAGACGTGACGTCGAAAAAGATACTGGTAATTTGTAAGGGTAAAGTGGGAAAATCAGTCACAATTGTTTGACACAAAAATAAATAAAAAAATTTCAAAGTTCAAAGTTGTGAAATCAAGGGACCAAGTGTTGGTGCCAAGAGACTTCCTTGTCAAGAAATCCCACTAGTCCAAGACTAGTTTTGGTCAACTCATTGACTTTTTCAAATCAGCTTATAACTTATAAGTTTATTTTTATTTATTTATTATATTTTCCCACATAAACAAAAATCTTGACTTTTTTTTTTTTTTTTTTAAATAAATAACTATTTGGGGTTGTTAAACAACCAAAGTCAAGTTTCACATTAAGGAGGCTGCTATTTGAACTTGAATTGATTTGAATGAATATTCTTTTCAATTTTAATTTATTACTTGACCTTGATTTTTTTTTTCTCGTCCGCGTATCGAATTTGAATAGTTTGATTTAAAAAAAATACATATTTTATTTACTCTAACGATGTCCGAACACCATGTCGCGCACCGTAAATAAAACTTTGTCCATCAGTCATGAATTTCAAGCGTAATTTTATTTATTTATAATAATAATAACAAAAAATAATAATTATAATATTCAAACTTAAACTCCCAACTTCTAACCCAAACAACTTATGACTCATTCAAATAATCAAAGCCCATGAATTTCTTTTGGTCAATGTTCAAAACCTATCAACATATAAAAAAGAAAAAAAAAAAGAAAAAAAAAATCCCCTCCACTATATAAATACATACATAATACTCTACCTTAAAACATTCCACAAACAAAATATTTTTTTTGCTTGCAAAATGAGGCACCATAACATTGTCTTAGTTTTGGTACTTAGTATTTTTTTATTATGTCTTCAATTAGGCAAAAGCAGCAGATTATTATTATTACATGATCAAGGTGAAGAAGCTTTATTAAAAGACAAGTCTCTTTTCCTTAATTCACTTCAAAAGGGTCCCGTCCCTCCCTCCGGCCCGTCGGGCTGCACGAACATCCCCGGAAGTGGCGGCGGTGCCTGCCCGATCAACGAAATGCACTTTGCCGGTGGTGCACCGCCTCGTCGTGGTGGTCGCGGTCGCAGCTCAACCGCAGTCAATCGCTTCCTTTGGGGTGGCCACTCAACCGAAGAAATGAACGAAATATCTTATTATTGATTATTTTTTTATTTTTTTATTTTTTAATTTGTAATACTCTTGTGATATTTTTGTAAATAATACAACCCTTGAAGCAAATTCACGGGATCGAAAATTATTATATAAGTATCGATTTTTCTTTTTATTTTTTTGGTAAGTAAAATGATAGTAAATTCAATATTTGTTTTCCCACGCCCGATTATTCGAGCAACAAATGATCTCGAAACGAGATAGGTATGATTGAAAGCCATCGCTACAAAACATAATCGTTTTTTTTTATTAAATGTATTTGTTTATTCTTCCGAAAATCTGTCGAAAATTATTAGCGAATGTATAGTCAGCTAATACGAGCACCTAATTTTTGACAAATTTTTGTACTTTAATATGTGTTCCGTTTACTCAATCTAGGAAGTTTGGCCAATTTAGACAATTGAACAATTTTAATAATTTAATGCACAATGACTAATTACGTGTTTATAATTAATCATCTGGTATTCGTTTTTCTTCTATAAAAAGATTGGGTCAATTTTTGGTGGTTACAAAACAAAAGATCCTCCTTATTTGCATAATTACATGTATCACCCTGAGGTATTTTCTGTATGATGAATTTACCCTAACAGAGTTAACAATATTGAAATCAAATGAATATCTATTTTGTAATGACCAAAATACCCCTAGGAATCCAATTGTAAAAATGATTCTAATTTTAATTTTTTGAATTTTTTTTAAACCTTTTCTTGTTTACAATTAATTAGGCGTCTTTGTGTTAGAAGGGGTTCTGTGTAATACTTTACAGTGCACGACGGACCAAATGTAAGAAAATCCGAAAATTGATTTCTTCCTTTCATTTAATTATTTTAACACATGGATATTTTAGACAATTACTACGATATCTTATGATTTTCTGTCTCGTTATTATATAAACAAGGAGGTTTTTTTTTTTTTTTTTTTTTTTTTTGTAATTTGACCTTATCGTGAATTCTCGTAATTTGTTCTTATATTTAAATTTTAAGTGACTAACTGTAAAAATATTAAATGATTTTAATAGAGATATATTTGATACAAATTGAAAAATAGGAAAATAACGAACAAGTAGATTCGAACATCTCACATTTCTCCTTCCCTCCGGTCTCCCCATATCTCAGCTGGACCCAAACGGGCAAACCCGACCCGGTACCCAAAGACGGCGGGTGTTTCCTCGATTCTCAGTCGCCGGAGATTTTCCGATTACAGGTTAGCCCCCTCTGTATCATAAGTTATGAGAAATTGGAGCTTAATTAGGGCTTAGGGCTATAGTTCCAGATAATGTGTGGAATTCGTGAGATTAGCGTTGTGATTAGGGCTTAATTATCGAGTTCCTACACCCGAGTTGTAATTTGTAAATCCCTAACCTAACGTATCCTCCTTTTGCTTACTGAATTTTAGGAAATTCAGTAATTTGGGGAAAGAAGAAAATATGCTTTCAGGACTGAAGTTCATACCGCGGGATCAAATTGATAAAGTAAGTCCCCCAATTTTTTTCAATTTGATGTTCTGAAGTATGGTATGATTTGCTCAGGTTGTATGCCTGCTTCAGTAGCAAACTCTGTTAGAATACCCTTATACCGTGTACTGTTTCGATTATCAGTTGTGTTTATGTGAGTTAAGGGTTTCCTTATTCTATTCACCAATCATTACCTGGTTACATGAAACTTTGCTTTTCGATATGCTATGTTAGTCGAAGTTGGGATTTTAAAGTAAATTATGAGGATACTGTGAAACTGTAATTGTAAAATAGTAGGATTTTGCATATCATTTGAATTTGAAAAGCATGCCAGAGGTATATGTTTCATACGTGTATAGAACATATACAGACATAAATGAAGTATGATCGGAAGAAAATAACCATTTCTCACCATGAATAAAACATCGTGAATAAAATATGTGTTATTGGTTGTTGTTGATTGTTAGATTAGTCCTTGGTCATTGTTGTTTGATGTTTGTGCTAAGTTCGGTCTTTTTCACAATTATTAGGATTAGTCATGTTTCTTGAATGGAACTTCAGTGGAAGGTTGAAAAATATTCCGGCATTACTTGGGATGCACTTGTTTTGAGAATAAACAATCGAGTCTGGCTTAACAAACTAAATGTTAAAATCATAGATCTTAAAGATTGTAGGGATTGTACTCTCAATCTTGAAAGATTTTGCTTAGATTAGGATTCTACTAGGTTTTAACAAGGTATAGGAATTTTAGGATTTCAATCGAAATTTTAACTATCATTATTGGTTCTGTCTTTTAGGAAAAAGATGATACAGTCAATGATTCTAGAAGAGGGACGAAAAAATCAGCACATAGAAAGGAAAAGATTGGGGGGAAAACCAAACGATCCCAGTATAGTAGTTCTGACGATGAAGGTCTTGAAAGAATAAAAACTGGGTCCAGAAAGAAAAATAAGTGGTATGATTCAGAAGAGGATTTGTCATCACTTTCAGAAAACAGTGGTAGCCAGAGTGAATCGGAAAGCGATCGGAAGAAACACAAAAGTTGGAAAAGAGAAAAGAAAAGGCATGATGAAGATCTGGATAAAAGTCGGTCAAAGAAGAAAGAAAGAGGTAAAAGAAAAGACTATTCATCAGAAGAGAAGGAGAAACAGCTTGCAAGCAATGTGGAAACTGACTTGATTGGTATGCACTATATAAAATTTATTCTTTATATTTTGTCTAGTATATACAAATTTACCTTATTCTCATATGTCATTGTTAAATCAGATGATAGTAAAGGATCTCAATCACAAAAATCCAACATTGTGAGGAAAGAAATGGGAATGGAATGGATGCTTCGGCCAAAGGATAATATGGAGAAGATTTACGATATTGAACCAGAGGAAGCTTCAGCTGAAGAGGTATTACTCACATACTTTTCTTATATCTCTCTTCTGGCACATAAGCAAACATCCGTTTTTTATTTTATTTATTTTTTGTCGGGATGTGACTTTTATCGTCATCATGTTCATTGATTTGTAGCTTTGTTTTGAAATTCTTGTTGATAATAATTTCTTATAACCTCTTTGTTTTGTGACTTTTGCGTTTATAAACTTCCTGGTATTCTAACCATAGTTTTTTCTGCCCAGAAGATAAAGAAGGATAACCCGAGAGAACTAAATCCATATCTGAAAGATAATGGGGTTGGTTATCCAGAAGAGTCTGATGGAGTGAACGCCAGAGACAAACGACCTTTATCTAATACAGTTGTTGGTGATGGAGGCGCCAGCTGGAGGCTGAAAGCTTTGAAAAGAGCACAAGAGCAAGCAGCTCGTGATGGACGGAACCTTCAGGAGGTATGAATACATGACACTGTGTCACTGTGATTTAGCTGTTAAGGCCTCGTTTGGTTTCCAAGATAGGATTAGCCAAGATAAGATTAAATAATCTAATGAAACCCATTTGTATTTTTGGAAGGTCCATTAAAAAAACTCCTTAAAAGGCAACATAAGCCATGATTACATAATATTTCCGGGTCGACACGGGAAGTTATTGGGTATACCAAACGTCAAACAAACTTCAAGTATTTAGTTAATCATGGCTAATCTCCCCAACCAAACGGGGCCTAAGTCAACTATTTTATATTCAACTAATGCAGTAGTTCCTTATCAGGTTGTTGAAGAGCGTTGGGGTTCAATGGGTCAACTTGCAGCTTCTGTGGCTTCTCGTAATGTCGCGCCCACTCATGCCCATCTTCATGCCATACAAAACAGGAGAAAGGGGTGGAAAAAGGAAGACAAGACTAATATAGATGAAGACAATGGTAGCTCTGAAAAGGTAATAGTTCTACATATATGTCACCGCATCTGAAGCAATATTACATCCCTGCAGAATAAACATCCAAATATATTTCAGTAAATTTCTCACTAGTTAAGTTTTTACAACCTGTACAAATCTATTTTTTCCCCTTTCGTTTGGCCTAGCTCAGGGTTTTTACCTTGAATTAGTTTATTTGTACTTTCTGAAGTTACATTAAAATTGATTTTGTCTTCAGCAAGATTACATGATGGTCGTCTTGTTGATGCTGACCTTGTATTTTGACTATACCAGGAATCTGGTCAAAAAAGCAATAAAGAAGTACTACCACGAAATCCCAAAATGAGAGTGCCCAGAGTTCATGATTCTTTATCTTGGGGGAAGCGGGGAAGTAAGAAATTATCAACTGAGGATTCTGCTCTCGTCTCTGCTGCTATGTCCAATTTAAATAAGTTTTCCAATGATGGAAATTTCATGGACGGATTTATCCCTAAGGAGGGTAATTCTGGTGATCCCAGCAATTCTTCAAAGTCTGAAGCTAGAGCAGAACCTAAATCAGCTGAATTTGCATCAAGGGAAAGCAAAGAAGACTCTGGAACCATGAACCCAGCCATGAGTGCAAATCAGTTGGCTGCCAAAGTGTTGCAACTTCGTATGAAAGGAAAGCACGAGGAAGCTGAAAAACTGTTGGTAATATATTATTGTCATTGGAATGTTTTTCTTTCCGTATGTTTTTTCATAGATTGGTCCTACTCCCTGTTTTGCCCCCAAAAAAGTGCCCAAGGGAAACTGTCTATGATAATCTCTGTCCTGATATGACGTGAATATATGTGCATTGATACACTTTTGTTATCTTCTTCGAATATGAGTTATTGTAATTTTGGGATGAGAAATGTGGGTGCATGTTGAAGGTTGTGTGTTATCGGAATCCCCATATGGCTTTCTTTTTCCTGTTTGATTCGCCGTATTTCATGAGAAAATTAGTTCTTTATTTCTTAATGTTATTTAGAATTCTTTACGGTACTAATCTTGCATGCACTTGTGATGATAATGTCTAACTGTGACCGAAATATGACCATGCACACCCTCTTTACTTCTTTCTTTCTATATTTTTAAAAACTCGAGTATTGCTTTTAATATTACTCTCAATTTTATCAGGATGACGATTAGCAAGATCTTTTTCTCTGTTTTGCTTCCTGTGATCTGATCTATTTTTTCCTTTGTTAATTCAGAAGGAAGCTGAGAATATTAAAGAAAGAAACAATGCTGGTAATGAATCAAGTAGAGTAAAACTTGATGGGACCACAAGCAGGTGCTTTTTCATCTCATTTCTCACCCCTAAATTCGACTCTTGTCACTCGTCCATTCGGTCGTTTGACTCCGCCTATTATCTGATTGTGTTGGATTATGTGTTCTTTGTAGGCTTATTATGCATGATGTCTCTGCAAGGCAAAAGAGGAAAGAGGATGATGCTGATATGCATCTAGCTCAAAATATAATGCAAAATCACAAGTACAGCGTATCTACTCAGGCAGATGAAGAATATGATTACGACGAGGGTCCAAAGAGAAAGGCTCGAAAAAAAGGAGGGGATGGTAATTTCAAGTCTCAGATAACAACTTCTGCAAACCGCTTCATGACTCAGCAAGACCGCTGTCAATTCTGTTTCGAAAATCCAGCAAGACCCAAACATCTTGTCATTGCCATAGCCAATTTTACGTACTTGTCACTACCTCAACAACAGGCTGTTGTCCCTGGCCACTGTGGCATTTTAACCTTGCAGGTGACTTCTTAGTTTTTTTCGGTCTCTGTTTTCTAGTTCAGATGAGAAGGCTATTTGTTCATATTGAATGAATTCTGGTCAATGCAAATATTTTATTCTGGTTAACAAAATTGAATCATCGGGGGGGTTTTGCTAATATCTATAATACGACGAGTTTTACAACAGTTAGAGGAAACACAGTGTTGCTGAATGCAATTACCCCTACTTTTCTACTTTAAGTGCAATTATCTGTCTATATCATGCTTGCATTTTTTGTTTTCTGGCTGTGAATATATAATTTGTGTATTTTTCATTTGACAGCATGAGTCCTCGACGAGAAATGTGGATGAAAATGTGTGGGATGAAATTCGAAACTTCAAAAAATGCTTGATAATGATGTTTGCAAAGCAAGACAAGGACGTGTTGTTTTTTGAGACAGTAATGGGATTGGCACGACAGAGACGCCATTGTATGGTTGAGTGCGTCCCTTTGCCCCGAGACGTTGCAAAGCAGGCTCCTGTTTACTTCAAGAAGGTCAGTTCATCTAAATGCTAACCCTCATTATAAATGTTTTCTTTTTTCCTGATAATTATTCCGCGGAGTGTTGGAAATGAGAGAGAAGAACGAACTTAGATTGTTTCCCATCAAATGATCTTAGATAACATAAACTTCTCGTTGCACTCTTAAATTTTTCTTAAATTGTTTTAGTAATCGGCAGAAATTGGGATATACATATTCGCTCAACGTCTCTTTATACACTTGCTGCAGGCGATCGATGAAGCTGAAAATGAATGGAGTCAGCACAATGCAAAGAAGCTAATCGACACGAGTGAAAAGGGCCTACGAGGTTCAATCCCCAAAAACTTCCCTTACTTCCACGTCGAGTTTGGTCTGAACAGAGGATTCGTTCATGTAATAGACGACGAGAAAGAATTTAAAAGCAGCTTTGGTCTGAACGTAATTAGAGGTATGCTGCAACTGCCCGCTGAGGATATGCATAGGCGTAGGAGAAACGAATCGGAGGAGATGCAAAAACCAGCTGTCGCCAGTTTCGCTCGTGATTGGGCACCCTTTGATTGGACGAAGCAGCTCTGAGTAAATATTTTTCTGAAACTAATCCAGATTTTATTTACGGAGTTTCCAGTACAATAGAGTCGGTGTTTTCGAGTTGTACTCTGTTTATTGTTGGTAATTTTAAGTGATTGTAAACTTGCCTGCATGTATTTGATAAAATGCAAGTTTATTAAATATGAAACAAGAGTTATAAATATTTCTCAACTGTTTCTTTTCATTTTTTGTTTCTTTTTTGGGTGAATTACAAGGAAACCCTTGAGATAAGGCTTAATTACGGAAAAACCCTCATTATTTGCATAATTACGAGCACCCATCATGTGCTAAAATAATTAAATGAAAGATGAAATGGCAAATGGCAAATAAAACCCATGAGTGGCATAAAAAAAAATCAGCGTAAATACACCGATCCCCATATCTTTTGTTTAAAGTACCCCTCTAATATAATTTTTATCAATTTCATCAATTATACTCTAACTTTATCAATATTGCACATTAACCCCATTTGTCATAATTTTTTGATTTTTTTTTCTGGTCAGTACAAAAAGGATATTCTATAAAATCTATTTGATTCTTTGTTATTTAGTTTACTTGACCAATTCATCAGCAAGTGAAACTTTCTCAAAAAAAAAAAAAATTAATAAAAAAAAAGATATTTTTAATTATAAAATAAATATCTGTCTACTTCATCTGCCTTCAAATCTGCATAAACCAAAGGACCCAATTCCATCTCGTTATACACAGAAAGGCGGTGGAGATAGCCGCGACAAAGTGTCCGCCGCCTCTCTCAACCGCCGTTTCAATGTATAACCAAATTGAAAGGGTCCGCCGCCGCCGCCGAAAATGGCAAAAAGCAGAGATAGGGCTGAATGCTGATGACAGATTATTTTTACCTAAGTGGGTGTCTATTATTATTATATAATAGGCACAAATGGGCTTTCTTTTGCATATAAATACATACATACAAAATTGTCAAACCCAACCAATCAGTGATAAATATCATAAGCCCAGCCCAAGTTAAACCCAGAGCACCACTCCTTAGTGCAATCGCCCGCCGCTGCCGGCGCTGCTTTGTTCTGCACTTCCGGCGGAGGGAAACGAGACCAAAAGGTACGTCCAAGGAAGCGTTGAGATTAGAAGCTTCACCGCTCATTTTCTGTGTCTTTTCTTGAGTTTCTCATTGTTTTCGTTCTTTACAAATACTTCTTCATTTCTTGCCTTGTTTCCCACTGATTTTTGTGAGATGGGTTTGCGGCGAAAGTTGTGAATTTGGTTTTAATGGTACATACGCCATTTTCGTGTGGGGGTTTCGACACTTTGCACTTATGCACGTTACGTGTTCGACGAAATGCCTCAGTTAACAGTTTGGAATAGTGTTTTCTCCCTTTCATTTGATTTTTGCACTAACTGAGCATTTTTTATTTTATTGCAGCGATCGCAAAAACGGACACCAAAATGTCGAGAATAGCATCTATAACGAAACTAGCACGACAGATCAACCGGCTTAATCAACAAAGAGTCCATTTTTCTCTCTCCTCCACTTACTCCACTCTGCCGAAATCTCCTACCTACACACAAATCAAACAAGACGAAACGAAAATCCCGACAACTAGGACTCCCAATCCGCCACCCCAAATCCATATTAAAGACATAAAAAGTCTTCCTAAACTCGAAATAGGCGAAAACATTCCAAGAAGGGACAAAATCAGCTTCCTCGTGACGACACTTATCGACCTCCAAGACAATAAAGAATCCATATACAACACCCTCGATGCATGGGTTGCATGGGAAAGAGAATTCCCGATCGGTGCTTTGAAAAACGTGCTTCTCGCACTCGAGAAACAGCAGCAGTGGCACAAAGTAATCCAGGTCATCAAATGGATGCTTAGCAAAGGACAAGGGAACACGAGAGGAACGTACGGGCAATTGATCCGAGCCCTTGATATGGACCATAGGGTCGAAGAAGCACACGAGATTTGGAAGAAGAAACTAGGGTTTGACTTGCATTCGGTTCCTTGGAAACTGTGCAAGCTTATGATCTCGGTTTACTATCGGAATAATATGCTCGAGGATCTCGTGAAGCTGTTCAAGGGTTTGGAGGGTTTCGATCGGAAGCCACCGGAGAAATCGATTGTGCAGAGGGTGGCGGATGCATACGAGGTTTTGGGGTTGAGTGAAGAGAAGGAACGAGTGCTGGAGAAGTACAAGACTCTGTTTGTCGAGTCGTCTAATGGCAAAATCAAGAAAATCGGGCGGTCAAAGAAAATATCTTCTTGAAAAACTGACCCGAACTCCTTTTTTTCTTTTGGGGGGATAAAATTTCGATGGTGGAAAGAATTATAACGTTCATCCGTGTTATGCTTCAGAATCCTTAAAAGAGTAGGTTTTCGTTTTATTGCAAGCTAGTTGAATATTCACGCTGTATTTAGTGAGTCTACTCGGGATTATATTACAAAGTTTGTGTCATTAATTCAAAGTCAAAATGGTTTGGTAACATTAATCGAAGATTACGGGGCGTTTTTATTCTCTTTCGCATAGGCATTTTTGGCATAAACTTTTTAGGTGGTGTTTGCAAAAGTTTTTTTTACAAGCTTTTTTCGCTCATAATATTTTTTTAATTGCTTGCAAAAAAACTTTTGTTTTTACTTCTCTTAAGATAAACACCTTTAATCTATAATTTGTGAAGCCTCTCTAGATCTGCTTTTCCTATGTAAGTTAATTTTCCAACAAATTTGCAAACACTCCCAATAACTTGAAATAAGCACTTAAAATCAACTTAACTTATAATTTACAACTTCTGCTTTTAAATAAGAGATTGCTAACACTATAAAAGCTTCTAGTCAGCTGGACTAAACATATGTGTTTGTGTTTCCATTACAATTTCTATATTATCTCAAATTATAATGCCACACGGTTCAAAATTGGCCTAGTCGGATAAGAAAAAACCATCCGAACAAGAAATATCGGATTTTTATTTAATTTATTTATTATTTTTTTAATCCGTATAAACTATAAATGATTTGTGTGTAAAAAATCCAACCAGCAAAAAAATGTTTTTTTTATTTTTATTTACTATTTAGTCCTGGTATATTGTCCAGTACTTTCAACTGATACAGACCACTGTTTGACTAAAAATTTAAAACATTATTTTACTCAAAAAAAGAAAAAAAAAAAAACTAGCCGTTGGGTGAATTGCAACGGCTATCTGAATTAAAATCCTGCGTCTCTACAAATGCCCGTTATTTTTCTCACTTCCTTTTTATAAGCAAATCGATTTTCGTCTCTCTCTCACTCAAACTCTCTCTCTCTCTCACACACACACACTCCAAACACTCTCTCTCTCTCTAGACACAAGCTAAAATCAAAGATGAACGATTTGATGACAAAATCATTCACGAGCTACGTGGATCTGAAGAAAGAAGCGATGAAGGATCTCGAATCGGGTCCGGATCTGGAAATGGGCATAACCAAACCCGACCAAAACCTAACCCTGTTCCTCGAAGGAGCCGAGCAGGTGAAGACGGAGATGAACTCAATCCGAGAAATCCTGGCCCGACTCCACGAATCAAACGAGGAGGGCAAAACCCTCCACAAGCCCGAAGCCCTCAAATCACTCCGCGCCCGCCAAAATGGCGACGTTTTCTCCGTCCTGAAGAAGGCTCGTGCGATCAAGGCGCGTCTGGAGGATATGGACCGGTCCAACGCCGCCAACAGGCGCCTCTCCGGCTGCAAATCGGGCACTCCGGTGGACCGGACCCGAACCGCCGTCACGAACGGGCTGAGGAAGAAGCTGAAGGAGCTGATGATGGATTTTCAGGGTTTGCGGCAGAGGATGATGTCCGAGTATAAGGAAACTGTAGGGAGGAGGTATTTTACTGTAACTGGAGAGAATCCCGATGACGAAGTTATCGAGAAGATTATCTCCGGTGGCGACGGCAATGGCGGTGAAGAATTCTTGTCCAGAGCCATTCAGGTAAATTTGAATTATCAAACTTCAACCTTTTATTTTTTATTTTTTGTCTGAAAATATTTATGTGATTATTATATATAATTTGCTGAAATTATGAATTTTGAAGCATCTGAGGGGGGAAGAAATTCAATTTCTGCATTAGTGATGAGTTCCAATTTCCATATTGTGATATACAAATGAATTTGGAAATTCCAATTTTTAAATCTAAAATTGGATCGGAAATCCAATTATCTTCCAATTTGTTTTATTTTTGGAATAATTTAAATTGGGAATTTTCAAATTGATCAAATCATGTTTATTCAAATTAATCAAATCATGTTTATGATAAGTTCCAATTTCTACATTATCATATACTACAAATGAATTTGGAAATTCCAAAATTTTAAACTAAAATTGAATCGGAAATCGAAATCTAATAAATGTATTCCAATTATGTCCCAATTTGTTTTTTGTTTTCCGGAATAATTGAAAGTCGGAACTTTTGGAATTCGAAATGAAAAATATTGTTCCAAAATCAGAAAATTTTCAAATTGATCAAATCATGTTTATGATACACTAACTTTTTTTTAAAATTCATTTATTATACATATTATTATCAATGTATTGCTTATTAATCAAGAACTTGTGTTGGAATTAAATAGGAGCATGGGAGGGGAAAAGTGATAGAGACGGTGGTGGAGATACAAGACCGCCACGATGCCGCCAAGGAGATAGAGAAGAGCCTATTGGAGCTCCACCAGATATTCATGGACATGGCGGTGATGGTGGAGGCTCAAGGGGAGCAAATGGACGATATCGAACACCATGTGATGAATGCCGCCCAATACGTCGGAGACGGAACGAAAAGCCTCAAGGTCGCTAAAGAGCATCAAAAGAGCAGTAGGAGGTGTTTGTGCATTGGGATTATACTTCTCCTTGTGCTTATTATTATTGTTATTATTCCCATTGCCACCAGTTTCGGTAAATCTTAGAACAATTTTTCTTTTTTCCCGACGAATATTGTGCTTGTGTGTGTGTGTGTGTGTGTGTAATTCTTTGATTCTTTGTTTTTAATTTCTTGATATTCACTCTCGTGAGATGCAAGTTAGCTGTTCTTCAAGTGTGGATTTTGCTTTTCTAGTGTTTAAGTTTGTTCATTTATATGATATTACTTCATGTAATTATCATATATTAATGCTCACTATTACTATATAGTTCGTATAAACGGTTTGCCGAAATTTTTAGACTGGAATGGATATGTTTGGATTTTAATTAATTTTTCACTTTCGAAAAAATCAGAATATTTCTAAAGGTGCTAATTCGAATTCGATTCGTTAGGTCCAACTTTCATCCCGAAGTACGAGGATCTCTTATGTACAGTGTAGTATAGAATTCATAAGCTAACAATTATAGCGAGTGAGTTTTCAGGGGTTGTTTGTTAAAATACTGAAACTATAGGGGAATATTTAATAATATTAATAATGTGGGAGCTTTTTTTTATTGATTAATGTTTTATTAAATAAAAATGATAATTTACGACAAAAAAAAGTTTTAAAAAAGACAAATTATGGAACAAATGGATTATGGTTACTATTATTGTTTACAATTAAAATCGATATTTTATGACAAAATATATTTCACACTATCATCTTATATGAGAGTAACACTAAACCACTACTTTAATTACTAACAAGCATCCAAAAAAACTCCTCAGCAATTGAATGCACAGTCGTGGTAAAAATCTCTAAAATGGATTCAATTTCCAAGAATGCAAGATATCTATGGAGAAAATCAAATCCGTTTCCAAGAATGCAAGATATCTATGGAGAAAATCAAATCCGCAGTCAATGACATGAAAACCATCGTTCTCTGCTTATAGGTTTCATGGCAAAGATGACCAAATAGGCACTGTGATTCTTTTGGTCGATGGGGTTTAGTTAAATATTTGCTAACTTGAGGTTTTAAAAAGAGTTCCGAAAGAAAATTATGTGCGGAATGTACTCAAGAAAACTCTACATTCATTGTCATTGCTTCATATTTTCCATCATAGAGATCATATGTTACAAATTTATTATATTTTTAGGTACCGACCTATGAACTTTGTTATTACTCGAACTGTTAACAAATTTGTTTTATAGACTTACAAATAAAATATTGTTTATGTTTAGGTACTACTCAACCCCAATCCGTATTAGTGATTGATTTAATCATACGATTGAGAATGACTCAAAAAATGTTCTAGGTACATTTTAGAAGGGCAGGGATAAATGTTTATAGAAAATTTCTAGAAATATCTAGAACTTGGTGACAATTTTTACATATTACTTCTCAATTTAAACTCTTATGTTCTTATGAGGTTTCCACCATCATCATCAAATCATGATTATGATATACAATAGTCTTTTTTTTTTTTTTATCAAATTGTTGCTTATTAATCACACACTTGTGTTTTTTCCCTTCTTCTTTTCTTGGAGCATGGGAGGGGAAGTGATAGAGACGGCGGTGGAGATACAAGACCGCCATGATGCCGCCAAGGCGATAGAGAAGAGCCTATTGGAGGTCCGCCAGATATTCATGGACATCTATTCTTCTACTCATATGATAGTAATGATCACATAATAATTCATTAATGTTTTTATTTTTCTCTTAATATACCGGAATAATATTATAATAATTTATAAGTATTATGTCACTTAAATTCTATTGAGGTTCCTGACAATAACGATACTAAATCGAATTATTTAATGATCCGGTTAGGGTAGAAAATCAAAATCCGCTACTCGATCTGAAATCGTTCACTTAAACTGGTTTCATAACATAACCGGACTTTTAGTCCACTATATTACTTGTGCACTTGCGTGTAGGTATTTTACTCAACACACACCCAACCACCATTACCTCCATCCACCGCTGCCCCCCCTACTCTGCCCCCATACGCTGCTCCGTCACCACCATACCCACCCGCCGCCGCCCTCCCATACTCAACATGCTCGTGCCCCTTCTTCGTCGAAGGAACTGTGGAATATGACTCCAATTGAAGTGGTCGGAGTTTCTCGGGAGAGATGGAACATAGGAAAGGAGATGGTTACTTTTCGTTTTGACACTTGTCAGATTTGGTAGTGGGAAGTTTTGGTGAGGTACCTTCCAAACATTTTGCCAGAAAAAATATATTTGCAAAGGGGCACCATCAGAAGGAAGCACTGTGTGTGTGTTTTCCGTGAAAATTGTGGAGAGTTTGATTGGGATGAGATGATTTGGAGAGAGCGCGTTTTATAAATTGTCAAAGGCTGAATTGAAAATTCTTAAAGCTTCAATTTGGGGTTATGAAAATGTTGGGGCTAATATGTAATTTTCCACTATTTATTTAAAGGGTATTTATACCTTTTCAGGTCAAATTATGCACCCCAGCCGCACAACGTGCGCGTGCAGAACACGAAAATATGTTAGGGGCCTTATTGACTTTGACTAACTTTCATAGGGGGGTCCTTGCTAATTTTTTTAATACGGGGGTTTTCAACAATTAGAGATTACACAAGGGTTGTTCGTGCAAGAAACCCTCTAGAACTTTGTGACATTTATTTAAATATTACTTCTCAATTCTAATTTAAACTCTTAAGTATGTTCTTATGAGTTCTTCATCATCAAATCATGATGATGATATACAATAGTGTTTTTTTCCTTCAAATTGTTGTTTATTAATCACACACTTGTGTTTTTTCCCTTCTTTTCTTGGGGTGGAATGAAATAGGTGCATGGGAGGGGAAGCGATAGAGACGGCGGTGGAGATACAAGACCGCCACGATGCCGCCAAGGCGATAGAGAAGAGCCTATTGGAGCTCCACCAGATATTAGTACTTCATGTGGTGATCACATAATAATTCATTAATGTTTTTATTTTTTTCTTAATACCAGGATAATATTATAATAATTTATAAATATTACGTCACTTAAATTCTAAGTTTATTTAAATTTTTAACCCGATCGAAGTTCCGGATAATAATGATACTGAATCGAATTATTTAATGATCCGGCTAGGGTAGAAAATCAAAATCCCCTATTCGATCTGAAATCGTTCACTTAAACTGGTTTAATAACATAACGAACCAAACTTGAAATAATACATATGAACATGCATTGAGCTCGAATTCAATAAGAATAAAATATGTACAAAAATTAAAATTACTCGATAAAATTTCTAATAGACTTGACCAAACATGTGTTTAACTTGAATGAATTCGTTAAATTCGGATCCATAATTTTTTTTAATTTAATATAGATTTGGGTGTAAATTGTAATTACAAATTCCTTCATGGGCTATAATCTAAATTGGGCCAAGTAATTCAGAATTTTCCCACGAAAACGACGTCGTGTGTACCTCCAGATTTAAATATTTAGTCCCAACCCAAACGGCTTCCTCCGTCGCCGCCGTCGCCGCCACCGTCGCCGTCGTGGGACTAGACATAAAACCTTCAAAATCATTTTCTCCTGACCGTTATGAGAATAAAGAAACAGCCTGTCAACTGTTCCTATATCACCGTCGGAAACCAAAAGAGTGACTCGGCCATTGACAACTACTTCGAAGTTCTGCTTCGCACGCTACCTGTTCGACGAAATACCTAACTGAGACATTGGCTTTAAAATGAACCAATCAAGCAAACCTTTCAAACTCACCATCTTCAAAACCCCACAAAAACCCCCTTCCACCACCACCACCACCTTCTCCCGACAGCCACCGCTAGACCTCACCACCATCACCAATCTAATCCTGAAAGCAGAAAACCAAGACTCGCTCACTCAAACCCTCCACTCCATCTCCGAGTGGACCCCACACCTTGTCCAAACAATCCTCAAACGGATATGGAACCACGGCCCTAAAGCCCTCCTATTCTTCGACGCTCTCGATATGAACCACCATTCCTACCGCCACTCCGCTGCCGCTTTCGACCACGCCATCGACATCGCCGCCCGCCTTCAGGACTACAAAGCCACATGGACCCTCGTCTCGAAAATGAGATCAAGAAAATTGGGCCCCACCCCCAAAACATTCGCCATCATCACCGAACGGTACGTCTCCGCCGGAAAAGCCGATAAAGCCGTCAAGATATTCTTGTCCATGCACGAGCATGGATGCCAGCAGGATTTGCATTCGTTCAACACATTGCTCGATATTCTATGTAAATCGAAACGCGCAGAAATGGCGTATAAGTTGTTCAAGATTTTTCGAGGCAGGTTTCGAGCCGACGTGATTAGTTACAATATAATAGCCAATGGGTTTTGTTTGAAGAAGCAAACTCCCCGAGCAATGGAGGTTATGAGGGAGTTGGTCGATCGAGGCTTGGAACCAACTTTGACAACTTATAATATATTGCTCAAGGGCTTTTTTCGAAGCGGGCAAATTAAAGAAGGGTGGGAATTTTTCATGGAAATGAAGAAGAGAAAGATCGAAATCGACGTTGTGAGCTACACGACGTTAGTTCATGGGTTTGGCATTGCAGGCGAGGTTGAGAAATCAAGAAAAGTGTTTGATGAGATGATTGGAGCCGGTGTGTTACCTTCGGTCGCTACGTACAACGCTCTCATTCAAATTCTATGCAAAAAAGATTGCGTCGAAAATGCCCTCTTAGTGTTCGATGAAATGTTGAAGAAGGGCTACGTGCCGAATGCAACGACATACAATGTAGTTATTCGAGGGTTGTGCCATGCCGAGAAATTGGATACGGCCATCGAGTATATGGATAAAATGAGGCAAGATTGCGAGCCGGTTATTCAAACGTTTAATGTCGTGATTAGGTATTGTTGTGATGGCGGAGAAATCGAGAAGGCTTTGGAGGTATTCGAGAAGATGAATGGTGGGGAGAATTGTCTGCCTAATTTGGATACGTATAATATTTTGATCGGTGCTATGTTCGTAAGGAAGAATGCGGATGATTTGTTGACTGCCGGAAAGTTGTTGGTGGAAATGGTGGATAGAGGATTTTTGCCTCGGAAATTTACGTTTAATCGGGTTCTAAACGGGCTTATGTTGACAGGGAATCAAGGGTTCGCGAAGGAGATTTTGAGGGTGCAGAGTAAATGCGGCCGTCTTCCTCGAAATTTTAGATTGTGAGGATGCAACTGTTGTAAGTTATCTATCTAGAGTTTAATTTCTTTTGAATAGTTTGTTGAAAATTTAAATTAATGTGTGATTTATTTCATTCCAAAACTCATTAAACATGTGGTAAACATGTTTGAACCTTGTTTAGCAGACTGCAGACACTAAGAAAACATGTTCCTAAAACAGAACAGATTCAGGACCTTCCGGCAAACCGGAACTAATGCAAAAAAACACGTTTATTTCCTTTTTCTACCACGGGGTTTACTAGCCGATCTAGTGGCATCTTTAGAGGAATCTAGAATATTCTTTCCCCGGTCATCTTCATCATCGTCGGTTCCTTCATCAAAGCTCTCGGTCTTGTCTGTGGATTGATCTTCTTCGTCTTCTGGCAAATGATGGGTTGTGCCTTGTTTGGATAGTCGATCCCTAAGCTCTCTCAGTTTTGCTTTCTTCGTGTTCAATACATTAACAAACTGTGAAACCATAAAACATCACATAAGTTACAGCCACTGTTCGAGAGAGAGAGAGAGGGAGGGAGGGAGGGAGAGAGAGAGACTTTTCCGTAGATTTCGGATTCAAATTCGGATTTCTCAGAGCTGAGCTTCTCACTTTGTGCTAAACATTTTTCGGCCTCTAGTTTGAGCGTGTCAAACGACTGCATCTTCCACACGACTTCCTCCTATTCACACCAGACAATCAACTCATCAAGAATAGAAATTTGTTTAAAACAAGAAATATAGAGAGAGAAAGTATTATGTCTTCTCTCTTACACTCAGTCTTATGTTAGCATCCATCAGAAAGTCCAACACTTGTGCAGTAGTTTTCTTGCAATCTGACGAAGGTTGGCATTTCCACCGCCACTCCAGCTTCGTACCTTCCTTTTCGAATGTCCACGATAGCTGCAAAATATTACGAAAACCGGAAGAAAAAGTGAGAACCCTACAAACTAATGTTATGTTAAAGAAGGTTAGAAATTCACAAACTTAGCTAATCAATATGTAAAAGAAAGCTCAAATCTCAATAAACCAGACTACCAAAGTGTATATATATAGGGTAAATTACGGTCGACCCCCTAAGATATGGTCAAATTACAAAAAAAAAAAAAACTCATGTTTGAGTAATTACAACCACCTCCTCAAGTATGAGTCTTCTTACACGTCCATCCTTATTGTGTCAAATTCAACATAATCTTCTGTATTCCGTGGAATGTTCTCTAGCTTGTACTCGTTTTGTGTGAAAAAACAGTTTATGATGCACCAGAATCTAACATTTACAAGTCAATAGACACATCTTATGATCATTTTATTTTTCAAAATGCAGAGTTCGAATGGGGTAAAACGGGTACAAACTGGAGAATATTCCATATAATATAGAAGATTCCACTAAATTTGACGCCACAAGCGTGGACGTGTAAGATGATTCATAATCTAAGGATGATTGCAATTACCCAAACAGCAGAGAATTTTTTTTTTTAATTTAACCATACATTCAATGGTAAATATTTCCAAAAAAAAAAAAACAAATTGAAGCATAAATACCCGTTTGGATCCGTTTCCAGCATCCGAAAACCCGTAAACCGACCCGGATTGTTGAAAGCCGAGATACCTCTCAGCCAAATCGAGATAATCCGACACCGTTTGGTCCCAAGACGAAGCCCTCTCTTTCACCTCTTCTTCAGTAGCTTTTCCCCATAAACACACAAAAAAAAAAAAAAAAAAAAAAAGTAAAATTAAATTTGTTTTTAATAATAATCAACTGAAATTATCGCCATTGATTTACCTACCATGGCAGTTCCAGGCGTGGAGTCCGTCGGTTATGGAAAGGTCGAATCGGGTCGGGTGCCACGTGCCCTTCACGAATACGGGTTCAGCTACGCCGCCGCCGGCCACACGGATATCCAGTTTCAAGCACGTGTGTCTCGGCGTGTCCATTTTGATTAGGGTTTCGGGTGGATTTGTCTGGGGTTTGTTATTACTGTGTGTAGTGTGTGAAGGAAGTTCTAACGAGAGAGACGAAGAAGAGAGATAATTCCCGCTTTCTGACTTTCTTCATTTACTTATAATTATAATTTTCGATATTTATTATTCAATTCATTGTTTATTGTATATTTACCTTTTTCGAAGGCTTGAAAAATATTTTTATTTTTTTATTTTTTTTAGAATTGAAGAAAATAATTTAAAATTAGTTGAATAAATTGCACTATGGATTATGCAACTATGGTCTATGGGTGGAAATCGGACGCAATGGATCATAAATAGATTTTTCGGGATTTTTTTCAAATTTTTGTCGGAAGTAAAAAATGGATTACAATTCCCGTTTCAAAAAACTCGGAATGTAAAAATTCATTATGATTTCGGAATGCTTTGAAATGGACGGGGCTTTTGCGGATTTCGGAAATTACATTAATTTAGAATCTCGTGTTCCAAGTTTGGATATAATGAAAATTTCACAAGTACTTTTCTATCTTTTTTTGTTTTTTCGAACAAAATGTAAGAAAATTCAAAAGATAGTTTTTGGTTCTAATTAATTTTTTATAAAGTTTTAATTTACATGATCCTTCGTTATTTATATTTTTCATTTAAAATATAACATAAATTGTATTATGGAATTGCGAAATGTGTCATAAAATTATATCATATATTTCAAAAAACAATCAAAATATTTGGAACTAAAATCGAATCGGAAATCGGAATATTCGATAATTTCCTATACAATTCCGATTATGTTCCAAACAAATCCCCAAAATAAAAAAAATCGGATCTTCGAAAATCAGAATGAAGAATATGACTATATATTCATATATTTTTTTATCGGGGTAAGCGAAATTTGGAAATTTCATTCCGATTTTCACCCCTAAGAATCGATCTCACACTGAAATTCAGAAATTCCATATACTTTCATGATGGATTAATCTAACAAATTAAGAATAAAATTAGGTGGTAAGTGGGATTTATAAAAAGGGTTAGCAATAGTTAATCAAAGTTAGGTCAAGAAATTATTGGGTCACAACTTGCTTGTTGTCTCTCTCCAATTAGTAAATCATGATTTGTGGAGAGTTGAGGTATAAAACGTCGTCGTTTTGGACTAATTAATACTTTTCTGTTAGAATGTCTAAACTGTCATTAGCTGTAATTAGCTAAGCTAATGTTTATAAATGTCCATCTGTCCACATTAAATATTTAAGATAACATGTTTGAATTTAGTTAATTTTTTTAGCATTTAGATTTATATCGACGAGTCTAAACCAACGGTTCGATTACTTAAATAACGCACAAGTAATTATGAATATTTGAACGGGATTTCTGAATACTGTCACTTTTTCCGATTTTGGAACAATATTTCTTACTCCAAATTTTGAATTTATTATTTGGATTCTTTGAATACATTTAGATTCCGAATTCTGATCCGATAGTAATTTCCGAGACCGAGTTCGAAAATTTTGATTTTTTTTAATTAAATTATACTTTAAATAGTTTAAATATCAATATTGTTATTTATTTTGTATTATACGGAGTATGGCCTAAAACAGTAAAATATTTCGATTTTGGAAAAAGTTTTTTTTTATTTCATTTTTCGAGATTCCGATTTATTATTTTTTCGAAATTATTGGAACGGAACAACTTTGTTTAATACATACTATTTTACACCCAAAAACTTTTTTCCTCACAATTTGGATTTTCAAAATTTCTCAACCTCCGTTATCTAACGGCGTTAAAATATTCCAAATTCATTCCCCAACTGTGCAGCAGAGGAGGACAAACAAAACCCACCGTCAAAAATCCAGACAGAGACACACACACACACACACACACACACACACACACACACACACACACACACACACACACTGCGAGTTGAAGAAACCTCTCGATAAGGAAAAATCCAGAAGGCAAATATACTCAGAAGATCGGAAATTTGAATCTTTAGTAAGAATTTTTTACCACATTTTTCAATTCTGTACTTCGATTTTAGTTTTCTTTTGGTTTTCTGAGTTGAAGTTCTTACGCAAGCAGATCTAACTCAGGTTTGTCTTTTATTCGTTCAAATCAGTCCGCATTACCATTTTTTTTACTTCGTTTTTGTGTTTTTTTTTGTCTGAATTTATGGATTTTAATGTAGGTTTAGTTTGATTGTGGAATAGTATTTATGGGCGTGATAAATGTTTTTTTTTTTTTTAATGAAGAAATGATTTTTTTATGCATACAATGTATTTATCATGCTATAATCATCATCTAGTACTCTGTGCACCAAAAGTTGTACCAAAGGATTGTAATTTCAAATGTGGATGAACAGAAGTTTGATGTGGCTTGTAGACCTTCCGATTGCATAATGTTTGAATTTAAGAGGTTTCTGAATCACATTGTTTATCGTGTGAAGATTTTAATGCAATGTATAATGCCTTGCAAACTGTACGATGCGATCATGGTTCGCCGGAACGGAACAGTGCATTGTCGCGGACACTGCCGTTCCAGTTCCGTTGCAACGTCGCGGCTGCGTCGCTGCCGGAACGGACACATTTTAATTAAATTGTTAAAAAAATACAGTATATTTCAAATATGTTTTTAATAACAATATTACAATTCAATAATATGCAAAATATTATTACAATTTAAAAAATAAATATTACAACGAATATTATGAAAATACAAGCAATATTAATACCAAGTAGAATACCGAACTGGAATTGTGTAGGATATAATTGAAGAGTGAGGCCAAAGAGATCTGTGATTCAGGGGAATCTTCATTATCTAACTTGGCCACCACCATCATATTATTTATTTATTTATTTTTTTATGCTTTTTTTCCTTTTTTTTTTTAGTCAAATTTGTTTTTTCTTTTTCAAAATCTTTTTCCTGTTCCGGCACCGTTCCGGCCGCGTCGGGGCCGTTCCGTGGCTCCGTCTCGCCCATCCCACTGATTTCTCGGCGTTCCGACGAGTCACAGTGCAAACACCGTTCTGGTTATGGATTCCGGAACGGAGGGCACCGTTCCCGTTCCGGAACGGCCGTTCCGACCGTTCCGACGCCGTTCCGGCGAATCATGGATGCGATGTTTTTATGCAAATGTATCGAATACGAGATAATTGTTTTACTTGAAATGTGTTTATTAACGAAATAACAATTTATTTTTTATGATATATTCTTGCTTATCGACTCAGTAATATGGGACTGGAAGGCAGTGACGTTCACATTGACAAGGAGCCAGACGGTGTTATCGTCTGTGAAATAAAGGAATGTGATATTGAAAAGTCAGTTGAGCTAACAAACCTGTGTCAAGCCGAGGCATGTGCGAAGAATTCACAAAGCACCGATAGTGAAATTAATTTATCCAATGAGGATGCAGCACGTGGATGTACGAAATCGAAAAGTGATAATAAGAAGACGAGAGCTTGTGGCAAAAAGACTACCGTTCCGCAGCCGTTTGCTCTGGCAACTGAAAAACGAGCAACAAGTGGGGCCCGTCCTTATGGGCCCGAGTCTGACAGTACAGCCGTTGGAGATAAACCGTCGAAAGCTCACATCTTGCAGCATCCAACTTCCTCAAAAGAGAATCGAGTAAAATTATCTATTCGATCTATAGGTTTTTCTTTTCTGATTCATTATATGTATTTCGATGGACTTCCACTTTGGTGCTTATTGTCTTTCTTGATTTCTTATTATCTGTCGTTGCTTTGTGCATACCTCCAAGAATCTATATACACGTCGGTTTTCGTGCTTCAGAAAAATGATTCAAACAAGACTGTTTTAGCAGCTTTATGAACTCAATAGAACCGTATGTTGTCTGTCTTGATGCAGACACTCTCACATGTTATACCAAGAAAGCCATTGCAACCTGACAACAAGAACCACCTCGATGAAGACACTTGTTCTGTCACCTCGTCGTATCCTATATATTACCCTTATTTCTTGTTTATGTATTTAAGGTTCTTTTACTGCTCGTTGTGAATGCTTATCGTTATTTCCTCAACTATTTGAAGAACTGTGGCTTCGGTAAGAAAGATTAAGGCAACTGTGGCCTCAGCCCCAGTGTTCAAGAGCAGTGAACGTGCTGAACGAAGAAAGGAGGTAAATTTAGAATACATTTTTATTTTATTTATATTTATTTTTTATAATATACATTCTCTTAATTTTAATATATGTTTCAGTTCCTATCGAAATTAGAGGAGAAGCATCAAGCATTGGTAGCCGAGAAAACTCAATGCGAGGCAAGGACTAAGGTAATTTTCTCAAACTATAACTTTGAAATGATAATCTTTAACGAAGTTTATCCAATCGAAAGTCGAAACTAAGTAGCATCGTTGCATTTGTCTGGTCTTCGTATTTTTAGGAAGAGACCGAAGCAACTATAAAACAACTAAGGAAGAGTTTGAAGTTTAAGGCTAGTCCAATGCCAAACTTCTACCATGAGGGCCCACCACCCAAGGCTGAACTAAAAAAGGTACACTGCAGTTATTTGACTATATTTAGGGGTGGAATTTGGAAAGGAATTTCCGATTTCTGCGGATGCCGATCTGAAATTTTCCGATTTTGGAACAGTATATTCATTCAGAATTCCGAATATTCTGATTCCGATTTTTTCCAAATTTTTTTGGATAGGAATTGGAATAAATATGATATTCTGATTTCCGATCCATATTTGATTTCGAAAGTAATTCGGAAAATTCCGATATTTTCCGGAAATTACACTGATAATATCAATATCATTATCCATTTTGTAATTTAGGTTATAAAAAAATGGAAATTTCCGATTTCGGAACAATTTTTTTTACATTCCAATTTCCGAAAGTTCGATTTTTCCAATTTTTTTGAAACAGAATTGCAATTACTTTTTCACATCTGCAAAAAATCGGAAATTTTCCCTGATTCCGATCCTATCTGTCCGATTTCTACCCCTAACTATACTCTTTCGAAATTTCAGCCACCTCCAACTCGTGCGAAATCACCCAAATTGGGCCGAAGAAAAAGCTGCAGTGATACAAAAAGTTCAGTCCAAGGAAACAATGAAGCTCGCCAGAGTTTTCCCATCACAAACACGAAAACTAGGATTAATATACGAAACGATACTGCTTCAGACAAAACGGAGACAGCTGTTCATTCTTGATGATCTGTTGTAAGTGTTATCTAATTAAGATCTTAATTTATTTTTAATCCTCTGTTTAAAGATTACTTTCAAGTGGTGTTTTCTTTAAATTAAATTAATGTATGATGTAAATTTTTCCTGCAAGATAAAACACATTTGGAAATTGGGGCTGTCTCAATTTTTGACATGTTCCATAGATTTTGCCTTTAGTGTATAAGTTGTGGGCCATATGTGTAATAATTTTCAAAAGCAGTACAAGGAAAAAAGGTGCATTTCAATTTCAATTTCAATTTCATTTGCATAACATGTGGGGGGTGAGATTTCAATGTTCACAAATGTAGGTAGCCACTATGTTGTGGCTTGTCTTGTGACATGTTTGGGACTACTATATAAACTTTTCAATTATTTGGGGGTTTGGCTTGCAAAATAAATAAATTAAAAGCTCTCATCACTAATTATTGCGTCGTGTCCACAGCCGGACATGACCACGGTTCGGATCGGAACCAGCCGGTCGTTAATTGGCCGGTTAACTACGTCATCGAGTTTTGACCCAAAATTGTGACATTAAGGGTTAATACACATTATTAAAAAAAATCTACGACCGTTATTATATGTTCTTTGAAGAAAAAATATCATTACTAAAAAAAAAAGTCAACAATCAAAGTTTGACAGAAATAGTGGGTCAAACCGCGGACTTCCCAGCTCAAAATCTAAAAGAAAAATCAATTTTTGTTTTAAAATACCACAAATCGGCGGTTAACCGTCCATTGAAAACTAGCAATGAACCGGCAGTTCCGAACCGCAACCGAATCCTTACATTGAAGGGTCGGTTTAAGGGTTGTTTATTTTCGAAACGTGCATAGGCGGAATAGTTAAAGGTGTGATTGGAAAAATTACAGTTTGCACTGATTTTACATTCGGTCTTCTATGTTCACAAAAAATACATTTGTTCCCTCATGTTTCAACAATTTAACACTTCTAACCGTTAAATACTAAATATGTCCGAAAACTGTGTTTCACATCCACACACCATGTCCTTCAAATCTCTCTCTCTCTCTCTCTCTCTCTCTCTCTCTCTCTCTCTCTCTCTATATATATATATATATATATATATATATATATAGGGTTGTGTAAAAGATCAAGGATGCGTGATGACCATGCCAAACGCTATATTCTTAAGGAATTCTCATGTGTACTGAAAAAAGCATGATATGGGATGCTGCAAAAAAAGTGGAATTAGTTGTCCAAAAAGAAACCCACCCCCCACCCCCACCCCCTAGTTGTCATCCTCACGTATATAAAAGGCCCTCCTATGAAAAATGAATGCATGGCCATATGCAAAATAAATATGTGATGAAATGCTGAGGGGAACGTTGTCTGGTTCGAGACCAATTCTTTCGATACAAGAGAAGAATGAACTCGGACCAGGCTTCATTCCCCTCAGCTTTTCATAACTTCCCGCAACTACCCATCGATTGACCGGTCGTAACGTTTTCTTGATAATTCCGAGTGCTACTGCAAGTCGTCGATCTTGTTTGTTCTTGCGATTCTTGAAACCGTATATATATCAAAATCTGAAGGTATATATATATATATATATATATATATATATATATATATATATATATATATATATATATATATATATATATATATATATATATATATATATATATATATATATATATATATATATATATATATAGTTTAAGTCTTGTAGAATATACATACACTTTAGATACACTTGCAGAACAGAGTTAGGTTTCATCTTTTCTTTCTTATTGACTTTACTTGCAGAGGTTAGCAAAGAATATTTAATCAGTTATTACCAGCTTTTACTTTAGTTACTAATTATTAAATTAATTAATTAATTAAATGATTTTCAAGATTGATTTTTTTTTTTTACTGTCTTTACACCTTGTAGAATATAATGTCATCATAACATTCCTCTTATTATTGGACTCTCCTTTTTTAACTTTTACTGTTACAAAGTGAGAGGTTTGTATTTTATGGTTTTATGCAATCTCGTAGATGTTACATTTGATGAAATAAATACACTGGAGAAGTTTCTAAGTTTTATTAATATGTAACCAAACATATATATATTTGTGCGCGTGTGTAAAATATATATATGGGATTATATATGTATATGCTAAGATATAACCCGATGAAATTCACTAGACGCATAGTTTTTGTAAATTTCACTAGATGCTATTCGTATTTTTCTCTATAGCTAAAAAATATTATTTTATAGTTCTTTTAAAATATATAGTTGCCAACCCTAATCAATCATAATGCATCTTTGTAGTTATTTTTTCTCTCTATTAATATTTTAATTATTATCTTTTCTTTCTTATCTTAATGAAATGATTTACCAAAACGTTTTCTTTGTTAATGGCATATTTGTAAATACTATTTTTCCTTTTTCTTTAATCTACTAATTCTTGAATTTTCACTTTGAAAATGCTAAATTGTGCAGCATACGTGGAAAAATACTAGTTCTTCGTAAACTCTCATACATCTTATCTTTGGATCTTAAAAGTTACTCGAACGAAAAATATAAATTCATAAACACGTTATACGTTATTTTGACGAGTTTAAAGTGTGCATAAAATTGTTTTATAGTATACATATAAGTATGTTTATAATTAATTTTGAAGGATCAAATATTTGGTTAAGTTGATTATGAGAGTCAAAAGAAGAGAAGAGACAACTTGAGTATGTTTGAAGAGAAAAGGCAGTATTATTATCACTTATTCTCAATAAAGAGATCAAATTTGGACGAAAATTGATTTTGTGTGTTCAAATGGAATTGTTTTATTACTTTTTGTGACTTGACTAAAAATCATAAAAAGCAGCCACATAATTTTTTTTGAAAGATAAGAAAAGTCTAATTCAATATAATAAAAATATAAATAAAAGAAAAGAAAAAAAATAATATTAGTGAATTGTGACCCAAAATGTAAAGAAAGCTGTTTATTGACAAGATTGATCAGTTTTCAATTATAACTTATAAGTACAATTTGTCAAATTGCTTTACCATTTGTGATTAAATCCTACGTCATTTTCTTTTTCTAAAATTGAAAAGTAAAAAGTTTATTGAATGTATGAGTCTTGTAAGAAATAAAACAGACTTAGAGCGGAGGCCGTTTTAGTTAAATTTGTTTTAAACAACTGATAAACTAACTCTTATGTATAATAAGCGGTTTTAAAAGCTGATAAGTTATCGCGCCTTATTTTTAGAGTTATCTTTTAAAGTATTCAGATAATAAGCTTATAAACTATTTTCACTCATAATAAGACTTTAAATAAAAAGATTGGGTAAATTTATTTTTTTTAAAATTGAAAAGCAAAAAGTTTATTGGATGTATTCGAGTCTTGTAAGAAATAAAACGACTAGTATTTACACGACTATTGTAAGTAAAATTACACTTTTGGTCCCTCATGTTTAGTCCAATTTCACTTTTCCTCCCCGTTGTTTCAAAGTTAACAAAGTTTACTCTCTAAGGTTCAATTTTCAACACTTTCGATCGGTGGTATATTTGTAAGAGGATTTACTAGAGGGTAAATAATACTTAAGCCCTCCGTGGGTTCGCTATTTTGCACATGAGTCCTTCTACTTTCAATATAAATATACGGACCCCTTGTACATTTAATTTAATACAAATACATAACTCCCTTGTGGTATTCCACTTGGCAAATACAGTCATACTCACTAAAAGAGGAAAATTTTTGAAAGTACAAGGAGTTATGTGCATATAATAAAGTATAAGGGGATCATAGTGCTTATACTGAAAGTATAAAGAGGTTATGTGCAAAATTATCAAATAACAGGGGCTTAAGTGCTATTTAACCATTATTGTAAGGACAATGTTTGCATTATGTGGGCTGGGCTGGGTTACAGCAATGGACTTGATCTTCGGCCTAACGCAGTAGAAATAGCTGGTTTGTGTCCAAGGAAAAGTCAACTCTATATATATAACACAATTATATATATTACAATCACTTGTAGTCAACTCTAATACAAATATGCAATTGTATCTTATGTGGTTATGACTTATGAGACGTGTGATAAATGTTATTTTAGTTTTAATAGTGCTGTTTCGACTTTAAAATGAGTTTGACCTTTTTTTCGGTCTGAAGTTGACAAAACTCAAAAATTTGTATTTGTAGTTCTCTGAGTAAGTTTTTTAATTCAACTTGAATCGATAAAATTGGACGCGGGCTGGTATCATTAATTCTTTGAGTTAGCTTTCTAGTACAACTTGAATCATCAAAATTGGATGTTGCGCGAGAAAGATCAATGAACACTGCCCACAATTTTGATGTTTTAAGTTATCTAAAATTTTATATGTAATTCGTCACCCGACATTCAATTTGGTTGATTCAAGTTGGATTAGAAAGTTAATTCTGAAATGACTACAATTTTCGTATTTTGAATTTTTGCCAGAGTCATATTAGAAAATGGTCTAAACCACATTTTCAAGTTAAGGTGGTTTGAGTAAAATTAAAACAATATTAGCATTTCAATCAATGAATTGCTTAGTAACTAATGTGTACTAACTAACATATCATATTTTTTTATAATACAAATGTCCAATCATCGTCCGATTTTAGGACATACATCTATAAGTTTGAGAATTCGAGATCTGACCAAATAATTATGTACTTTCTTTTACTCCACTAACTAAATTTATTGCAGGGCAAAACGAGCTGAGGTCGACGCTAGTGAGATATTTGGTGAATAATATACCAAACTATTATTGGAGGAGAATATTTAGTGCATGGTAGACTCTTTAACTATCATTGACAATGAAATTGGAATAAGGAATTGGTCCCAACTTGTTTTGAAGGAATGATCCTCTACAAAAAATGATATAGACAAAAATGTACACATAGTTTCATTTTACATAGAAATTTTATACATTGCACTTCGAAAAATTCCGAATTTAATATGTTTAGCTCTTTGTTGATTTTAAAAAGTCTGAAATATCCCTCACTTTATGTCTGATATACATGTAATAAGGCCTAATGATATGTGTAATTGTCTGTTCAATTTAGCCCTTAAGTATAGATAACTATTAGGAGTAATTTGTTTGCTTCACATAAATACAATAATTAATTAAGTTTGAAGTAAGATTGTGTAATTTTTTTATTTTATTTTTCTTTTGTTGAGGTGGTAACGTGCAAATCGAAATATCCAAAAGATTTCATTTCACCAAGATCGATCCACTTCCAATGAGTATTATATCTACCAACCTCGCATTAGGATAATCATATTCAATTTACCCACTAATCATTGGTTAGTTGTTAAGAAATCATTCTTGAAAGTGATTCAAATCATTTTCATTTCTTTGACTACAAGGTGAAGCCCACAAATTTATGATCCCTATGACTTTGACAAAAAAAAATCTTACATTTTCAAATAAAATTACTCCAGCTAAAATTATCCCACATTTTTCTCCCGTACTCCATCATCCATTCTACCTTTCCCTTTTCTCTTCCAGCTCAAATTCAACTATTCTTCGACAATTTCGATGCACTAGAATTGACTAGGCACACACACAGTGACCGCGCACATACACACACAAGACACAAACACAAAAAACATGCACGAACACACGTTCACACACAACAGTCGTTGCAAATCTGCGTATATTGTAAATGCACATTCGGACGTACATGAACAGTAGTTGTTGGTTCGCTTTGTTTAGCTACAAGATTTTGGGAAGATATGATTGCGAATAGGTTAGTATTCCATGTAAGAGGATTGCTAAACATAACTAGGCTCTCTAACTAAGCTTTTTTTGTACTCTCCACTGTATATGTTTCAAGTGTATAGTTTTATATCTAAGCTCTCCTTGTAGTATACATTGTATATTTTTCATGTGTGTATACTTCTTGTGGAGTGCATCTATTCATGTACTGATAATACTCAGTCTAAGCTATCTAAGTAAGTTCTCTGGTGCCGAATAAGCTCCCTAATTAAGTTGTCTATGACAGTGGATATGTATTCACGCTTTGTTAATTTCGAGACTCCCATAATGTATTGTTGGTTAGGTTGCGTTATCAAAAGTGGAGCGAATGGTAAAATTATCTGTTCAACGTTCACATAACTCAATTATATTAGATGGTGCGAGTGACTTCAAATAATAGTACCGAAATTCAATTAGATGACCTCTAATAACGAAATGAGAAATTTTTGTTATTCTTTGATTAAACTACTCTTTTATGGTATCAAATATTTTTAGGGAACTCCAACTAATAATTCCTTAATTAAACTACTAATTAAACACAACAAAAGTAAAAAGATGATATATAAAAGATTGAATCTTTTCTTTTCCATAATGCAATAATCCAAACAGGCGAATTTATTCTTATTCACTTTGACAAATTTTATGTTAATGTGTTATGTGTCACAGAATTACACTAAGGGCATCTTTGGTTGGGGGTATTACAAGGGATGGGATGGGATATACCAATTTGTACAGCGTTTGGTTTGGTTGATTTTACCATCCTTGACAACTGGGCCCACAGATTTAATCCCTCAATCGAATTATTGTTAGTCAAGCCAATTTTGGCTTGACTAATTATCACATACTCAATCCCATATTGTGACCTATGTGAAATATCGAAAATATCCTTGCAAAATACCATAATTACGAAATTAATAATATCTACACTAAATCTTCATCTTCCTCTTTGAAATCTCGATCTCCTGCCCTAGTTTTTTACCAGGTTAGTATATATAATAGTATCTCCTAGTATCCCGTTCGTCTGCAATTTACGAACACCCTTCGTGCACATCCAATTCTTTCTTTCTTACACATCATTTATTTCTTACACATCCTCTGAATTATCGCCCGATATACCGTGACATCAGCACAGAGACCCTTTTGCACCAACTCGTCCCGCAATTTCAAGACAGCCTCGTCATCGTTTAAAAAATCCACAAGCCATGAATATACGCAATAACTAGGAGAAAATCTAGAGCCAATCATATCAAATAAAATCTCTTTCGCACTAATTACATCCCTCGACTTGCAGAATACCTGAATCAACGCCTTATGAGTGAATTTGTCGTGTTTTAAACCAGCCTCCGACATCTTGTTCTTGATTTTCAAAGCGGATTTCATATCTCCGATATTGCAATACGCGTTGATTAACGTATTGCACGTGACATTATCAGCTTCGATTTTTCTTCAACTCATTTTGTTCAACAGTTTATTCGAAATGATTGGCTCTGGATATAATATTGGGACATAATCCTCCTCGTTCCATGCTATCTTGAAAGGATAAAGCCTCGTAATGCATACCCTTTTTGGCAGTACATCGAAATCAATGTGTTGTACGTGAAAATATCCGGGAGTACGTTTTTCGACTCCATTTCACACAACAATTCATCGGCCTTCTCTACGTCCCCCGACTTGGAACAAGCGTGCATCAAGACATTGTAGACATGTAAATTCGGAACAATCCCAACTCTCGTCATCTTCTTGTAGACTTTCCACACAGTATCGGTCAACTTCTCTTTGACCAATGAATGAAGAAACACGGTACTCGCGTGCAAATGGGGCTTATATCCACACAGGCACATATGATCAAACACTTGGAGTGCATCTGGATTCTTCTTCAATTGACGTAAAATATCACTAGCCAGCTCAAAACATACGAATTCACACCCGAGTCAGCGTCGCTGTTAACGAGGGCGTTCAATACAGTTGGAGACGATAAGAAATCTCCCCGGGCGATCTTTTCGAGCAGATTTTGAGCAGTTTTGAGATGCTTCTGTTTTGTGAAGATGCATATCATCAACCAATAAAATTGCAACGAATGCCTGTACTGTGAAATCGTGTCGACCCATTTTAAGAAGGACCATGAAATTGAAAACGAGTATGGAGAAAGATCCAACAATGCTTGGTTCGTGACAATAAGGAGAGAATCCATTAATTAAAAAAATTAATTACATAGCAGAAAATCGATATATTATACAATAATGTCAAGGGCTTTTACGGGAATTACCAATTAGGTCCACACTAATCAACTACACAAAACGGCGTATTGTTTGTCTGGGGATTATCAGTACCCAGATAATACCACGAACCAAATGTCATAGTAAGTATAACTTGTCAACACTTCTATCTCAATATTAACCATCCCATCCCTCTCTATATTTCGAAGCCCTCCAACCAAAGAGGCCCTAATGCCATTAAATACTATTTACCAAGATTGGACTTATTATTCTTAATTAGTAAAAATAGATTTAGTAAAAATAAAATTATCGAGAAGGGTATTTAAAACAGACTAAGGTGGTGTTTACAAATGATTATTTAAAAGCAGAAGTTAGTGATTGTGAGTTAAGTTAGTTTTAAGTGCTTATTTTTAAAAGTTGAGGGTGTTTGCAAATATTCCGAAAAATAAACTTAAATAAAAAAAGCAGAACTAGGGGTGCTTTTAAAAAATAGCTTAAAACAGATTATTTTAAGAGAAGCAAAAACAAAAATTAATTTTGCAAACATATTAAAAAGCTCATAATCACTTTAAAAAAACTTTTACAAAGACGACCTAAGTAATACAGACAAAAGAATTTAATATCTACATTTTATTGTGGGAATGGAATTTAATATTTAGCAGTAAAGACTTTTGTAAGGTGCATAGCTTGAGTTGAACACGTGGCAGCTCCACAGCCACGCAGTGCATGTAATTGGGAATCATGTATAGCAGGCTTCTGTAAATAGCTTCTGTCATATTGGGGTTTCAGTCTTTTCTTTGTTTGAATCTTACAGATTCTGGGTTTTTGCTCTCTCTCTCTCTCTCTCTCCATTTTCTCTCTCTAAAAGTTTATGTGATCTTTTCAAGATTAGGTCAAATGTTTGTTCTTGATTTTACTTAAATTTTGTTTCTTTTTTTTTTTTTTTTGTTGAGGCGGATAACACGATTTTGCCATATTAAGAAACAGGAGAAAAAAAAAAGTGAGATTGGGTCAACTTTGATTTAACTGCCAATGATTTGAGAGAAGCAAGAAGGTATGTGGGACTTCCTATTTTCATGGGTTTTATCTATATTTTCAAGAACTGTTGTACTTTATTGTATTTTGCTGCTGTTACTTTTGACAAGAATATATGGGAACAAATTAAAGATCTGAGTTTGTATTTGCCTAATCAATTCCACTTTTGAATTTAGGGTTTCTGTAGAGAATTAGAGAAGATGTATAATTGTAAAGTAAGAGTTTTTTTTTTTTTTTTTGAGGAGTGAGTGATGATAAGATACCCTAAGATGCATATGCCTGTAATTCAAGAAACCAATATTTCTGGATCTTGATTTTTATTATTTTTTTTGTCATTTGCTTGCTATGTTCTACTTTCGAAAATAAGGGGTGTAGAGAATTGTGTTGATTTGCAACTTAATTTGTTGGAAGATGTGAGCTGATCGATCAAGAATCGCGAAGTTGTTGACGAGTCGAATTAAAATGCAAAGTTTGTTCGAGTGGTTATTTTAGCAAAAACCCACTTATGCATCGGGTGATTCTTTTTTTTTGCGACTGGATTTTGTGTTCTTATAGGATTGGTCGAGGCGAAAAAAACCGATACACACGTGCAATATTACTTAAAATTATAGGGGGGGCATTACAAATCTTGATTTACGTATTTTCGGAATTTTTTTTCAACTTGCTTATTTCTATATTTTTCCAGGATTTTGTTATCTTAATAGACGACGATAATGATGAATTCAAGCAACAAAGGGGTTAACTTCGGACTTGAATCGGGTTCTAAGAATTACAGCGTAGAAACACGTTCGAAAAGTAGTAGTACAGGTGCAGGTGGAAATGCAAAATCGAGAATGGACATGGCATTTGCAGCATCTGATCCTTTATCCGAATTAGTTTGGTCGTCCAATAAAGGTTTGGGCCTCAAATGTGCCGATAAAAAAAATGTGGGCCCCGGCGCAAAGGAGCTTTCGACTGCACAGAAGTTGACTAGATTAAAGTCAATGCTCAAAGGGGAGGACAGAATCGATGATGATAAAGATGATGAAGGTACCTCGTTTGGCTTGGATGCTTCTCACATATTCTCTGATGGTAGTAAAGCTATTTATTTTTTGTATTCATTGAACTCGTTTTTTCTCGATTTTCTTCTGACAAAATATACCTTTTTTTTTAAGGTTGTAGTAATGATAAAATGGAGGAGAAAGCTGGCAAAGTTGATGTACAAATTGCTGATATTGCTGAATGTAGCAAAAGAAATGCTGGTAAAAATTGTGCTATTTCTGTACTGTTAGTACATATATGTTCGACAACTGCGTATGAATGCGAGTTTCGTATTTTCTCGTGCTTATGGATTTTTTTCCGCTTTGCTTCTGCCTAGGTGTGGAAATTGGAACGGAATTTCCGAAAGTTCTGATTTTTCTTGGAACAAATTGGAATACATATTAAATTCCAAATTTTGAATCGATTTTAATTTCAAAAATTCCGATTATTTCGATTATTTTATAATATCAATATTATTATGTATTTTATGTTATAGGTCATTAGAAAAATGGAATTTCCAAATCCCGCCGATTTCAATCTGGAAATTTCTGATTTTGGAACAAGTTTGTTTATTCCAATTTCCGAAACTCCGGTTTACGATTTTTCCAACTTTTTTCAGGGATGAAATTGGAATTAGTTTTTCACTTCCGAAAAAATATCGGATTTTTTCCGAAAGTACCAATTCCAATCCGATCCATCCGATTTCTTACTTCTGCATGCTCTAAGGCTCGTCTTTTATCAGTTGAAATTTGAAGCAAAATGTGCAATATCTTAGCACCATCTTTTCTTGAAATTGCATAACATTTGGCTGTTCGTATTTTTTTTTCTGCAGAAGATAGTTTAGCAGAAGGGACCTCTGAAAGTAAAGTCAACACGGTAATAAGAGGAACTTCGTGCGGTCATATTATCGGCTCAGCTCTTCCCATTAGTTCAAAACCTCATGCTGACGATGAAGTGACATCAGCAGCATCTACAGACACAAAGAAGAACACGAAGAAGAAGAAGAATAAAACTAGTATTCCCATTTCTGCCCCTCCAATGGAAATCGAGGGCTGTGCCGAAAACGATTTAGCTCAAAATAGCAGGATTTGTTTGTCCCAAGAAAACGGGAAAGAGAAAGCCTTGTCTGATGACAAGGATGACAGCCATGTCAGCATGGAAAGCTGTAATAGTGCTACATTATTCTCGAAAGGCGTAAAGAAACGATTTTTGGAACAAGGGCATCAGCTAGTCGAGAGCAAAAAAATGAAAAGTCAAATCGAGGGAAATAATTACGGTTCTACCTCTGTTGTAAAACCCGACAGCTCCTTCATGAACTGGATATCGAACATGGTGAAGGGCCTCTCAGATTCTAATAATAAAAAAGACCCTTCTGCCCTTGCTCTTGTTTCTCGGCCCGAAAATGATTGCAAAAGCCCGAATGCCGGATTCCAATCCGTATTTCGATCAATGTATACGTCTGACAAAAAAGCATATGAAGGTGAAAAGGACAACTCTTGCAAGCAGATTGTTCTATCTAATAAAGATGTAAATCAACGTACATCCGGGGGTAGTAATGTCCATCCGATTAATCCGTGGATTTTCTCTTTGAAAGATGAGGTAAGCCCGTCTGGTTCTTTCTCCAAAGAGGCGAAGACCACGACAGAAAACACGAGCCCGAATATCCCTTTACCTGAAAAAAGTAACCCTAGTGGCAGTTTGTGGATTACTCGTCTTTATACAAGAACACCTGGCGTTGAAAACTTGAACAAGGTTATTACTAAAGAACCCTTCTTCCCAAAAGCAGCTAATAATCTTGATTGTGAGAAAATTTCCGAGGCAAATGGTGATTCTTTTGATTTGAAGCCACCTCGTAAATCTTCAACGTGCGCGTTGATATGTTTCTATTGCGGGAGAAGTGATCATTATTTACGTAAATGCCCCGAGTTGACAGAAACTGAAATCAAGGGTCTACAAGTGAAAATCGGCTCGTTTGATAAAGTGGAGGAATCTTGTTGTTTCTGTATTAGATGCTTTCGGTTCGACCATTGGGCGATTTCTTGCCCCTCTGTGGCGGTGCCGCCACGTAGGCGCCATGTGGCTTGCACGAGCAAGAAATCATCTTTTGCATCCGATTCTGAAAATTATTTGAAATTTCCGAGGGGTATTTTCGCCAATTCGCAGGATGCGGTTGCCGAGGGAGAAATCTTCCGTGCGATAAAGAAGCTGCGAATGTCTCGATCTGATATTCTCAGGTAAAAGAAAAAACCACCTTCTTGACTAATATTCCAAATGTACGAGTAGAAGAAAAGGTTTGAATCTTTTGCATTTTTTATTTTAATTCAGAATATTAGTAAATAAAGTCTCTTGATATTTTACGATACAGATTGATGAATTCGAATATCTCTTCGACGCATTTGAATGGTTTTTTCTTGCGTTTGCGGCTCGGAAAGTTGGAAGCAGGGCTAGGTTGGACCGGTTACTATGTTGCTCGTATAACTGGTTGGTTATTTTATTTTATTTACGTTTTCTATGTAGGTTATTTATTTACTTATTTATTATTATTTTATTTATTGTTTGTATGATAAATTAATAGGTTATACGACAGAGATTATCGATTACAAGTCCAAGAAGTCAATTTTGGTAGATGTTGGAGGGATCAAATCATCCGTTGGGAGTCAATACGTGTCAAACCATGATTTTCTTGAGGTTAGTTTCGTATTAAAATTTCGTGATAAAATACTTCGAAGAGATGGTGGTAGTGAAATTTTATACGCAAGTCACCCGTTTTTCGTTCATTTGCCTCTATACGTATTTTCAGTTGTGCTTCATTTATTTAGTATATCTATGCGACTATACGTTAAAAAAAAAAAATACATTCAAAAACCTAACTACACGCACTTGTTTCTTAGGACGAGATCAAGGCATGGTGGAGCAGATTATCGAAAACGGGTGACAAGATTCCTTTGTTGGATGAGTTAAATTCGAAATTCGAGGATAGAGAAAGTCTTGGTTTCTAGTTATTACGGTTTCTATCTTTTTTTCTTCCGACTCGAGCAAACACTTGTGTATATGTAAGTAGCTTATGAGGTGTTCAGGTTTTTCTTTTTTCTCGCGAACAAATTTTCGGGGTCGAATAATTATTTACCATTAGTTTATGTCATGACTCATGAGAGTTTCATGTACATACAAGTAAAGTTGGAGATTATGTCAATAAATCATAATATTTTTTACATAATTTTTAGGGATGGTAACGAATAGTGTTTATATTCATCTCTAGCCTATTCATCTCTAGCCAAAAAAACAGTTTCGCAAATAAATTCAATGATCTAATTTAAATCACTTTCATCCGTTAAGTTCTAATTTCACCAATATTGCACAGTGACCCTCCCTACGTTCACAAATATATCAAATTATTTTGTGAAAATAGTAACAGTACACCAAACAACGGTATAGGGTAATGGTCGAAAACTTCGATATCCGTACCGATATTGCCCCTACTTCTTTAAGATATCTTGTTGAAAATTATTTTGGACAAGTGATGGACACCACTAAACTGAAACGAAGCCCACTAGCCCATTATCGGTAGGTGGGTGCAACTTGCAAATAATAAAATATTCCCATTTTATCAAATTTAAGAAGTGGGAAGGCAGCAAAATAATTCCTCACACTAATTTCGAAAATCAAAGTTTTTTAAGTCAATTTGTTATTATTTATTGTTACAATAATCATGTGGATTAGTGGCAGGACACCATCGTGCTTCATGTTTATATATATATATATATATATATATATATATATATATATATATATATATATATATATATATATATATATATATATATATTAATATTGCAAAATGACTTGACTCCAACTTTATTATATATGTAACGCTAATTATTTCTCAGTGTATTCCACGTCTGAATTAAATTCATCGGTTCCAACTTCAATTCACAGACTTTTCTTCGGAGACGACTAGCTATGCGTCAAGGTAAGTCACCTTCGCCCCCCCACCCCCACCCCCCACAAACTCACTCTGCACATAAGCAACAATGTCTATATATATATATGTGTGTGTGTGTGTGTGTGTGTATGTGTGCGTGTGTATCACATAAGCACGAACTAAAATTCAAAATATACTGTACGAACTTGTTGTAGATGGTTTCGGCAAGTTCGCTCTCGCAGTACACATCGCAGCTGCGTCGTCGATCGGGCTGATCTCCGCCGCCGGAATCATGCATTTCCGCCACCGCAAGTCCAAGCCTTCCAACGACAACGGCGGCGACGACCACCACCACCACCACCTCGCTCCGGTCCTGGATCGGACGGAATCCGGCCGCGTCGGCAAAATCGAGAGATTCTCCCATTACCTAGGTCTATATCCATTCATCAACAAAAATCCCCAAATTCAATTTCCTCTTCACACACAAACACACACACATATATATTTAAAAATAAAATAATTTGAAAATTGACAGCTAGGCAGATGGGATTCGAAGACGAGAGCGAGTGCCCTAGGCTGATTAAATTGGCGTATCAGTATCTGAAGAGATCGAAAGGCGTTGACGACAAAATTTATGAGTATTTAGCAAACGAACCGAATGCAGAGATTTTGTATGTGAAATTGGTTGAAGAATTTGAGAGATGCATTCTCGGCTACTTGGCCTTTCATTGGAGCCAAGCTCCTCTTTTGATTAGTCAGGTTTAATTTTTTTTAATTTGATTTTAGTTTTTAATTTCGGATCTCGGATTCGGGTCGAATCGCTGAACCGGGTTGGAAATTGTTTTGCAGGTATTGAGCGTTGACTCTGAGCAGAAAAGGCTCAAGGAATTGGTCATGGCAGCTACAAGGTGAGATATTTCGTATTTCGTATTTCGCAGATATTATAATTTAGGGCAAATTACGTCCACCACTTAGTTACGATCAAATTACGATTACAGTTACCTCTCAACTATGTATTATCATACAAAATTACCCCTCCAAAGGTAAATTTAAGGATGTTAAAGCGGTAAAACCGAACCGAGATTTCGGTACGCCAACATTTCATATCGTCTACCTAACTGAATATACGATTTTTTTCGTTAAATAACCGAATTACATAAATTTTATGTGAAAATATTTAAAAGCAGGGTGGCTGTAATTATCCAAACAAGAGGGGTTTTTCGTAATTTGGTTATACCTCAGGGGTTGGCTGTAATTTGCCCTCTTTATAAATATATTTGCATTTTAAATAAAAAAAAATAAATGTTTTATTACAATATCAGTTTTGTGGGACATACGAAAATATCTGTAACGTGCAAAATGACGTGGACGGGGTTTTTGTCTTCGAGTGCTGATTTATACGTATATTTATTCCATCTAGTAACATATATTATATTTAATTATTAAAAAACCCTTCATGTTATTAATAGTAGCAAAAATTTCTATATAATGTATTTTATTAGCACACAACTCTCCCTAAGTTGTGAAATTTTTAGGAGTTGATTGCATTTAGTACCCCTTTTGTTGCACCGAATTGTTAAAAAGGAATTGTGTTATCAATATTTGCAAAAAAAACCCTGTAATGTTTTTTTTATAGCACACAACCCCCTAAACTAGTGGTTCATGTTGGTCCCGTTTTAAATAGAGTAATGTGAAAAAAATAAATAAATACAGGATATGGAGATACTGTATATTGTTTTGAAAACTCCAAAAAAAGAAGAAAATAATAATAATAAAGTTGAGCTACCAATACTTTGACAAAGGGGCGAAATTATTTTATTACAATCATTATTTATGGGTGACGTGGATGGATCATACAATAATGCTAGAAGAATACTTTAATAGCCACATGGAAATTAAAATATACATTTCCTATAAATTATTGTGTAATATATTAAAAGCAAGATCACTAAAGATTTCATGTGATGTTAATAATTACTTTTTCTCCACAAAATAATATTAATTACTTGAATTTTTAATCAATTACTTATTGGTTTTTAACTTTTTATTCTAAAAGTCGCATTTTGATTTTGATTTTTTATTCTTACTATTTTTACGACCGGAAATAATGTTCACTGCGAAATTGAATTCGAAATAAGATACATTTTTTTTCGTTTTGCATTGTTTTAGGAAGCAAAGGTTCGATAAAATAGCGAAGGACCTAAAAGTGACACGAGTGTTCTCGACACTAGTAGAGGAGATGAAAGCAATCGGAGCGGTACCTAATAACGAAGCATTGAATCATTCGGAGGTGATGGCTCCGGTGGCTCTTAGCGAAAGAAGCCCCGTGCTCCTCCTTATGGGCGGCGGCATGGGTGCCGGCAAGAGCACCGTCCTCAAAGACCTTATGAAAGAGTACGTAAATAATAATGCATAACGTGGATTTTCTAATTGCTCGTTTAATTTATTGAAGTTAAATATTTGTCTTTTATAAGTTTGAAAATATGTAATTGTGAATATATATGTATTTTGGCAGGTCATTTTGGTCAGGGGCAGCAGCAAAAGCTGTGATTGTGGAGGCTGACGCGTTTAAGGAGACGGATGTTCTCTACCGAGCTCTTAGCTCAAGAGGGCATCACGGAGACATGCTTCAAACGGCTGAACTCGTAAATTTTCTTGATTTTCTTCTTTAATCTATATGTTGATGGGAACATATTTTATTTATAACGGAAACCACACTTTATTTATGCCCGGAGATGTTTCACATACGTTTGCAACTAGGGGTGGAAATCGGAACGGAATCTCTGAATTTTGTCGATTCTGATGTGAACACTTTCTATTTTGGAACAATAGTTTTCACTCCGCATTCCGAAATTTTCGAATGGTTTGGGAATGGAATTGGAATACCTATAAGATCCCGACTTCCAATCCGATTTTAATATCCAAAAATATTTACAACAATTCAGATTTTTTTTCCGGAATATTACACTTATAATATCAATATTATTATGTATTTTATATTACATGTGACTAAAATTTCCGATTTCCAATTTTTCCCTTTTCTTTTTGGAACAAAATGGGAATTGAATTAGTTTTTCACTTCAGAAAGAATTTCTATTTTTTATTTCCTAAAGTGGTAATTCGGATCCCATCAGTTCGCTTCAAATCCATAGTTGCACCGTACAACATCTGGCATGCTACTTAATTCTACAATTCCAATTTCACGCCTCCTTTTTACGATTTTGACCATCACGAGAAACTATGTTAGCTAGATTTTATCGTGACAAAATGCATGATTTTTCTACACACGACGCATTAATGATAGTCTTTTCGAAATATAGGTGCATCAATCATCTACCGATGCAGCATCGTCGCTCCTAGTGACGGCACTAAACGAAGGGCGTGACGTCATCATGGATGGGACCCTTTCGTGGGAGCCGTTCGTTGAGCAGACAATTGACATGGCAAGAAACGTGCACAAACATAGGTACCGTATGGGAGTAGGGTACAAGGTTGCAGAGGATGGTACCGTCACGGAGAATTATTGGGCTCAAGTCGAAGAAGAAGAGGGATCGGAAGATGCTAATAAGATTCTCAGAAAACCGTATCGGATTGAGTTGGTGGGAGTTGTGTGTGATGCCTATCTTGCTGTTGTTAGGGGTATCAGGTACGTATTAGTGTATACGCTTCTCGCATCGCCATAAGATAAAAATCGAGCATTTTGTTTTTTGTGTATATATAATCTCGAAAGTCGAAATTTCTATTGCATAAATGCGATGATTATCCTCGGTGTCGTTTAGTTGGCAAGATATACAATAAACCCCAATTTAAAGACTTATATCAAGAAATTAAACTCTATCGATTGTTCGGAATACATGATTTTTTTGCAAATTTTTATTTAGGTTAAATTATAACCACCCCTGAGGTATGGCCGAATTACAAAAACCCCCATCTTGTTTGAGTAATTACAACCACCCCCAACTATAAATCTTCTTACACGTTCACCCTTGTAGTTTCAAATTTAGTGGAATCTTCGAGATTATATGAAATATTATCATTTTTTACCCGTTTTATCCCATTCGAACTCTACATTTTGAAGCAAGATGATCATAAGATGTGTTTTTTGGCTTGTATATATCAGATTGTGGTGCATCAGAAACTGTATTTTTACACAAAACGAGTACAAACTAGAGCACTTTCCACGAAATCTAGATGATTATGTTGAATTTAACACCATATATAAGGGTTGAGGTGTAAGAAAAAATCATAGTTGAGGGGTAGATGTAATTATCCAAACAAGAGGGGTTTTTTTGTAAATTAACCATACCTCAGGGGTGGTTATAATTTACCCTTTTTATTTATTTATTTATTTTTCGTCTTTTCGTAATGCAGGAGGGCGATACAAATAGGGAGGGCAGTGAGGGTAAAATCCCAATTGAAATCCCACAAGAGTTTTGCTAATGCATTTCCGAGATATACTTTGCTCGTCGACAATGCTCGGCTATACTGCACTAATTCTCCGGGCGGTCCTCCAACGGTAATTTTTTTTTTACATCATATAGAAAAAAAATTAAAAGAAAAATCCGAACTTGATAGACTAACGTTGTTTTTTCGTGTGAGAAATGTGCAGTTGATAGCGTGGAAAGATGGAGATAGCAAACTATTAGTTGACCGAGAAGACATAAATTGTTTGACCTCGGTAAGCGAACTGAACGATGACGCAGAGTCGATATTCGAGCTCCACAAAGGGTCGGATCGGATAAACGAGCCTGGCTCGGTGTGGAAAGATGTGGTGTTGCTTCCCACAAGGTCAAGCCTTCAATTGGAGCTCAAAAATGTTGTGAAAAAAATTGAAGTCCCTGTTGTTGCTTAAGATCAGAAGTGCTTATTTTTCTTTCTGTTTTTTTGTTGTAATTTAATAATTTCTATTGTTTCTTGTTTGTAAGCTAAGTTAACTGATTTTTGAGTTTGAGGGAGCTCTTCTTTTGTTGTACCGTGGGCAATGAAATTGGTACAAGATCAAGATTTGGGAAAGGAGTATATGGAAATTCAGTTGATTGGCTTAAATCGTCTGAATTGATTTTAAAATGTGATGGAGTAATATAAGAGTAAATTACAAAAATCCCCTTGAACTTATGTCAAATTACGAAAAGCACACCATCTATCAGTAATTACCAAAACCCCCCTGATGTTTGTTTTGTATCTTACACCGACCCCTTTATAGTAGGGCTGGTTTCGGTACGGTTGCCGAATATTTTGATGAATACCGTGTACCTACCGAATTATATGGTATTGAAAAATTCGATACCGTTACCATACCAACAAGTGCGGTATACTGTTACTTTCGGTACGATATATCGGTACATGGTAACTTTACCGTTAATTTTAATTTGTTACTTTGAAAACGATCTTTATAAAAACACAACACTTTAAACAAGAACATTGGCTATTTATATGATCATATTCATTTTTTTAAAACTCCTTGAATATTTGTCAAACTTCAACTTCATTGATTTAGCCACATCTTGCAAAATAAGATTACTAGAGTCATGATTTTTTTTCAATCTCAATTTGCAGCCGTACGATTTCAGTGAAAACCAAATGGGATGTACGTTTTTTTGTTGCACTAAACTTCAATGTTGTCTCATAAATTTTTAAGAACTGTAATTCAACTTTTTAAGTTTTGATCTATGTATTTTATGTAGTAATTTTAACTTTAGTTAGTTACTAACCAATATAAAATAAATGTATATTAATTAAATTATAAATTTTAAATTTGCGGTACAGTACGGTATTACCATGGTACTGAAAATACAATACCGCTACCGTACCGTATCATAGTGGTACGGTACCAATACCGTACCAAATGTAGTGGTTACCAAAGTTTCAGTAAATTTTCGGTATTGTTTGGTAGGTATACCGTAGTATTCGATAGACAGTAATTATTTTACAACCCTACTTTATAGTGTGATCTTTCACAGAATTTTTTTGACTCCAGGAAACGATTTCCGAAAAATGTCGATTGTACCGCTACATACATGAAATTTCTTGATGTTATTTTTTAAAGACAAACATTACCGCTACCCTAGGTAATTTTTATCTTTCAAAAGGAGCATAAAGAAATCCGATGTTATAAATTCGCATTAGAATTGATATTATAAGTGTAATTTTCAAACAAAAATTATCAGAATACTCGCAATTATTTCTGAAAATAAGAATCAGATGAGAAATCGGGATCCCATATATATGTATTCCGTTTACGTTCCTCAACATCGAAATTACAAAGTTTCTTATTTCACATTCGTATTTATTTATAATATCGAAATCAACGCAATTCGAAAATATCGTTTCGATTTACACCCTAAAATTATATGGGCTTGTCTTCAAAATTATGTAATGGATCCATCCATGGTCAAACTTAATGGGCCCTTTTTACCATTTCATATTAATTCAATTTCAGCCCAAAATCAAAAATCGTCGAAACCCTAGAATATAACACCACCAAATCCACCACTCTCATTTCTGCAAACTAAACCCTAGCTGCGGAACTCAGAACCCTCTCCGCAATCTTCACTCGACCCAGCGATTTCCACCGGCAACCATGGTTTTTACCGATTGCTTTCTCCTCTGTTTATCAATCGCACTCACTGTGAAATTATTCCGGCTGATTGTACCTTTTTTTTTCGATTTTTTGTTTTTGCAGGCGGATGTAGACCCAGAGGTAGCGGCGGGGCAGCCGAAGAAGAGGACGTTCAAGAAGTTCAGCTTCAGGGGAGTTGATCTCGATGCTCTCCTTGATATGTCCACTGACGACCTCGTCAAGCTGTTGAATGCACGCGCCAGAAGAAGGTAGCCAAATAAAAAAAATATGATTAATTTTTTGTCTCTCGATTTGGATTTTATTGTGGGTTTTTTCACGGATTGAAATGTGTTTTTGGATTAGTAATATAAAAAAAATTTGTTCTTTGAAATTATTTGTTATGTTATAGGTAGATTTAGTTTGTGTTGGTATGTAATTTTAATAATTGAGATGTTAATCTGTGTTGTCTCGTAAATGTTTCGTATACTTTATTTAAAATGAATAATTTTATAACAGACATTCTGCATTTTTTGTTTATGAATGTGTGTTGATTGTTGTATAGAGGTATGAAGAGATTCTACCAGGTATATTTAATTCAATTTAGGTTTTAATTTTCTATTGATTGTGAATAGCTCAATTTTATGCATTCGATTTAGATAATGATACGGAAACAGAATGTAATTTAATCTTCAGTACATGCTTACCAGCTGTGTCTTGGAGATCTAAGTCGACTGTAGTTCCTTCGATTACTACGTTTGCATCCTAATCTCGTAAAAAATGTGAGTATGAATAGAGCTCTTAAACGAGTTCCGTTCGAGTCATGTAAACCCATATAACAAAATTCAAGAAAGATTCCAAATACGGAAGTCGAGACATATATGAAAGTACTTATACTATGCAATGACCTTCATGTGATACGTTAATTTTTGCAACAGCTTTTCACGATTTGTTTTGCAGTTGTCGTACTCACTAGTGTATCTTGGTACTGCCCGTTCATCTTAATTCATCTGGAAATCAACACTTAATTTCGTATCTCGTTTGCATAATGAATTTTGCAGGTTCCAGAGAGGTTTGAAGAGGAAGCCCATGGCCTTGATCAAGAAGCTTCGCAAGGCTGTAAGTCGATCTTAATTCCGAATTTATTATTTCAACCAATTTTACTAATTTGAATTGTTATTAATTATATATTTCTAGAAGATGGTTTTTTTTTAATTTTTCGTATTTCTGTAGAAACGTGAAGCTCCACAAGGCGAAAAGCCAGCTATTGTGAGAACCCATCTCCGAAACATGATCATTGTACCCGAGATGATCGGAAGCGTACTCGGTGTGTACAATGGGAAGACATTCAACCCAGTTGAAATCAAGCCTGAAATGATTGGTCACTATCTTGCCGAGTTCTCAATCTCGTACAAGCCTGTGAAGCACGGTAGGCCCGGTATTGGTGCCACTCACTCTTCGAGGTTCATTCCTCTCAAGTGAGATGGTTCTTCGATCAATATTTTGAGTACATGGGGAAAGAAACTGTTGTCTTTTCTTTATGATTCTCTTAGTACCCTTTTTTCTGAAATTTTAATCGAAGATACTATTATGTTTTAAACTTTCGATTTTGCCAATGTTTAGTTGATGGATTATTATTATTATTTTGTTTAAGTTAATGTTTGTGGTGGTTGGCATTGTTGTTATTATTATTATTATTATTATTATTATTATTATTATTATTTTACCTTGTTGAAAATAAGTTTTTTCAGGTAGTGTTTGGAATGGTAGAAATTAGAAATTATTCAATTTGGTTGTGGTTTGTTAAAAGTTTGTTTGAGTTTGGGTTGTTAAAATAATTAATCAAATTAAATATTTTGTTAGGTAGAGATAAATATATAATTTTGGTCAATATATATAATTTAAATATATATTTTGTTAGGTTAAAGTTTGTTTGAGCTCGACTCACTTATTTATTAAATAAAACTGCAATGTTCAAATGACTCAGTTTATTTACATTACTAAATTACTAAGGGTAAATTACAATCGTCCTCTTGAGATGAAAGGTATTTATGAAAAGACCCTCTTGTATATAATTACTTAACATTTCAGTTTCTGGGATGTGGGTAAATTACAATCGTCCTCTTGAGATGAAAGGTATTTATGAAAAGACCCTCTTGTATATAATTACTTAACATTTCAGTTTCTGGGATGTGATAAATGTCGTTCGAGTTTTAATAATATCGTTACGACTTCAAACATGATTTTGATCATTTTTAATTCTAAATTTGGCAAAACCCGAAAAATAGAATTTGTAGTATTGTGAGTTAGTTTTCTAATCCAACTTGAATCACCGAAATTGGATGTCGGACGAGAAAGATATACATGAATCAATGGATACTGCCAACAAATTTGATGTATTGAGGTATCTAAAATTCAAAATGTGACTCATTCATGCATAACTTTGTCACACGGCATCCAATCTAGCGGATTTAAGTTGGATTAGAAAGCTAACCCAAAGGACTACAATTTTCGTGTTTTGAATTTTGCCAAAAACAAAATAGAAATATGTTAAAATCAGGTTCGAAGTCAAAACGACATTAATAAAATTGAAACGAAATTTAACATTTCAGTTTCTCAAAAAATATGGTTTTATTGTAACTACACATTACTTTAGGGAGGTGGTTGTGATTTTCCCAATTAATAATTACAGCTTTGGCCCCAATGCTTTGCTTTTATTTTTGGGTTATTAGCGGTTTGTGCTTTGCGCACTGAACCCCTTATACTTTCAATATAAATACGTGGTCTCTTTGTAGTTTGAACTTTACGCACTGCACATAACCCTTTATACATTTAATATAAGCACATAATCCCTCTATTGTATTCCGCTTGGTAAATGATCAAGATCATTAGGAAGATGATTTTTTTTGAAAATATAAGACAATTATGTGCTTATATTAAAAAGGGGATAGTGTGCTATATTATAAGTACAAGGATCCATACGGACAAAGTTCAAACCACAGGGGTGGAAGTGCTATTTACCCTTTAATTTTTCAAATTTTCCAACAATGGAGAAGGCAGGGGTATAACAGGTAAAACCCACCAAAATGCACTTGATGCTCCATACAAAATTAGAAATACAGCACAACAGTACTCTCTCTCTCTCTTTCTCTCTCTTCTCTCTCTCTCACACACACATACTCACACAACTCCAGGCGAAATTTTTCTCTCAGCTCGCAGTTCTTCATTGTTGGTACGAGGTTATACTGAAACAATTTTTTTCCCCTCTTTCTCAATTGGTGTATCGATTTGTTTTGTTTTCTGATCGAGAATCGTTTTTGTTTTGCATGTATTTCCGCTCACTAAAATTAGCTCAATAAGGTCAAATCTCTGCTCCATGTTTATTCAATTCTCGAACTGGATTTTCTAATTTAATTTTTAATCCATGGGTTTTTGTGGTGTCGCAGTTTCTCTCTCTTCTTCTCATGTGTGTACTTGTATTTCACATTCTAAACAAGAGAGAGAGAGAGATGGAATAATTGTTTATTAATGGTGGATATAAACCCTAGAAAAAACTTTAGTTTGTAACAGATTTTGATTGTATTTTTTTATTTAGCTCCTAATCAGTTATGAAATGTGGTTTTAGTGCTGATTAGTTACTGAAACCCTAGAAAAATTCGAACACAATCATGATGGTTTAGTGTTAAATCAAGAAAGGCTAATTTTCGTTTGTTCGTCAATTGTTGGCTGCCTTCCTGTAATTTGAATTTGAATATATTCACTTGGACCGAGCTTTCCGTTTTCGTCAATGTACGACTTTTTCCGTTTTACATCAATAAATCACACTCTCTCTCTCTTTTTACTGGTAATATTGCATAATTTTTTAACACAAAATCTACTGTTACTAATACTATGTTGAGTTGAGATTGTTGGGTAGATACGTGTGATAAAATAAATCGCTAGTCATAATTAGTTGTAGGTATAGTATTGTCAATATGGTCCGGAAGTCGATCGTTTATTATATAAATATGTCGAAGCATCTAAATTAAGCTAGGACAGCTTTGTTGCTTATGAAAAGTAGTGGTCGTAATTAACACTCGATTAGCTCAGGTAATTATTGATGATTCGCTATACATAATTATAGGTATTGTATTGTGTTGCTTATGAAAACTAGTGATCACACTCAAGTTAGCTCAAGTGACTATTCGGAGGTTCTTGATTTGATGTTCAAGTGATTATAGAAACATCTAACATGTCTGTTTTTTTACATAAATGCCACAGGTAGAAGTTTCTAGAAACCATGTACGTGAAATCGAAGATGACGTGGAATGTGGTACTCCCCGCAGAGAATTTAGACATAAAAGGACTCATGCTCCAAAAGGCAATCATCACTCGTCTCATGTCCGAATTTGCCGCCAAGAAAGCCTCAAAAGATCTCGGATACTTCCTCACCGTGACAACTGTCGGCAGCATCGGAGAAGGGAAAGTCCGGCAGGAATCGGGCGGCGTTCTATTTCCGGTCGATTTCAGCTGCTTGACTTTCAAGATGCTGGTCGGAGAAGTTCTTGAAGGCGTGGTCTACACGATTATAAACAAAGGGGTCTTCTTGAGATGCGGGCCCGCCCGAAACGTGTTCCTCTCTCACACAATGATGAAAGATTACCGTTTCGTCCCTGGTGAAAATCCATACTTCACGAGTCCAAAGTCGTCGAAGATCGAGAAGGGGGTGACGGTGAGGTTTGTGGTGCTTGGGCAGAAGTTTGTGGAGGCTGAGAAAGACTTTCAGGCTCTTGTCAGCATTAACGGTGATTACCTTGGGCCCATCTCTTAGGTGGGATTTTTGCCAACGAAACGAGTGGGCCCCACTCTCTTGACTTTCTTTCTTCGGTATCTAATTAAATATAATCTGAACTATGTGTGGTTTGGTTCTTGATGGATTAGTGTTTTGTTTGGGCTTAATGTGTAAAAAGCTTTAGATGTAGGCATTTTGGAACTTTTGATGCTTAGTGAAATGACTCTTCTTTGCTGCATTTGTTGGTGTTTCTTTGTGCACTGTTTGGCTGAATTTTTTTCCAAGTTTTTATATGTTGACTGACAGTGTTTAAGTGTTCACTATTGACAGTGTTAAGTGTCCAAAATTAGGCATTTGTTAATTGTATGGATCAAAATTAGGGATTTGCGAGCTCCGAAGATTTTTGTCGATCGTAAGTGCTTAATGTTGTCTACACCGAACTCCAAACTCATCCACCGGCGGCCTACTCTCGGAAATGAGCTGCTGTAACTTAATTCCAAATCAGCTTACCTTAAAAACCAGATCTTGACCGTTCAAATTGAATGAGTTAATCCTAGGCGTTTCTTCACCGACGTATATACGTTCTTCTCTCAACCTGCGCGCCTCTCTCTCTCTCTCTCTCTCTCTCTCTCTAATTTACCTCTCAGTTCAACCTTGTCTTTTTTTCCGATGACCTCTTAATGGAGTCCTCGTCGTACTCAGTTGACTTTGACGTGGAAGCGTATTCTAGCTCCACAATTGTGTATGCCTTAGCATAGTGAAAGTATTAAAGGACCCAAAGTATTGATGAATGTTTTGAGGGTGGTAATTTTGTAACTATGACGAGTCAAACAAGTGCTCAAATGGCTTTATTATTAGTTTACAATGTTCTAATTAGCTTTTTGAGTACAATTTATTTTCAATAAAAGTAATTATGGCTTATAGTGGTCAAAGCTTGACTTTAAGCATAAAAGTTACAATGGTCCACTTTCAAATATTGTCAAGCAATTTCCACTATTGTCCTTTACTTGTTGTCTAAATTTCATCTCAGCTTCAAACAAAGTTCTCTGCACAGCCTTCTCAACATCTGCTGCTCTTATCTGCCAAATAAAAATTTAAATAAATAAGAGAGAGAGAGAGAGAGAGAGAGAGAGAGAGAGAGAGAGAGAGAGAGAGAGAGAGAGAGAGAGAGAGAGAGAGAGAGAGAGAGAGAGAGAGAGAGAGAGAGAGAGAGAGAGAGAGAGAGAGAGAGAGAGACCTTGGTTTCAACCACTAGTGCAGCGGAAAATTCATGGTCCGAAAAATTCGATACAATTGAGGTTGCGTTAGAACCGGTTTCTTTCAGACATTTAAGAACCTCCAACATGGAGTCCACACCAGAAGCTGGATAAGCTACTCTCAACTTAATCTCAGCTTTTTCGACTTCTTCTCGAAATTTCTCCGTCGCCCTCAAAATCTTCCCCATCTCGATCCCTATTTTGCCCCTCCAAAACTTCCTTACACCTCTTCATCTCTTCGATCTCCTTCACCGCCATTTCCAGTATCGACTTCTTATCGCTCTGTCGGCCAATCCCAAAACATTATTATACGTACGTATATAAATACATGCATACGCGTTATATACGTATATATATGTATATATAATAAATTACCTTGGTTGCAAGTGGCAAAAACTTGTGAATGGCAAGATAATTTTGGTTGAGCTTCTCCCTTCGCATCCTCTCACTAATCTTGTGCTTGTGGCTTCTATCTTTCACACGATAACGTTCGATTTCTCCGGCCGGGGGCAAATACGTCTTTTTCAAGAACTCCATCATTCTCTTGTTTATATTCCGATGATTATGCGAAAGCCCTCTAAAGGGTTTTTCTGTGTATGCATGAAAAGCACTTTGAATATCCACCATTGGAGCATCTCCGAACCATGAAATGCTCGTACGAGAGGGGCATAGTTGGAAGAATTCTTCCATCGCTTCCGTTTTTCGGTTTGTTCTAACTTCTCTAACGGTTATTGTAGCAACTGTCATTTGGGGACAAGGGTTTATATATATATGTGAAGGGACAATGTAGTTAGTTAATTAGCCACGTGAAGCACATTTTAAACATGTGGTCAATTGGCATGGTCTTGGTCTTTCTTTTTTGGGAACCAAGAACAAGAAGGGTGGAACTGTAATTAATAATTATATATTACAACTATATATTTAATATTAATATATATATATATATATATATATAAATGTATAGAAAAATATTGCCGAGTAGAAAAGTTAGTGGTTTATATTGATTTGAAACAAGTGTTGACTTCAAATATCAAGACTCAATTCTCTCTTTATTGTTCTTGGATAACATTATTCATCTTTATCTGCATTTTAGACGCGTTTCATATTCAACACTCGAGGGCACCTGAGAAGACCTTAAGGGCCATTTTGCAATTTCTAAAAAAATTGGAACATGTTTGAATAACAAATTTTCAATTTTTTTTACATCCATAATTATTTACAATATTTAATGCAAATACCTCCACAAAATCAGCAAAAAAAAAAAAAAAAAATCATTTTTTTACAATAATATTAATTCATCATCCGTTTTCACATACTAGCAAGGTGCACGTGCGTTGCACGTGTCGTAATATTATTATATGGTGAAAATAATTTTTATGTATACATTAGGTTGCAAGATGCCTTTTATAAAATATGAGTCAATTTGTTTTAGACAAAAAATATATTGCTCATTCTGTAAATATTGGAGAAATGTAAACTACATCAAATCAAACTTATCTTATCCTCTTTGTATTGCATATACATTGAAATTTAAGTGAATCCTAGGAAAACATATTTTTCGAGATTGATGATCAAATTTGCAGTCAATTACAAGATTTTGTTTAGTTAATGATGTTTATGTGAAATCATTGAAAACTAATACAACTCATATAACTCGTGGTGGGACATCAAATGTTTTCCTGATAACCAAAATGCATCATCCAATTGCAATGTCCCTCATGGCACAGCTAGTCCTTATGCAACAGGCTCTGTTTATTGTGGATTACCAGCTCTTTAACCAATTCATTTTTTTCCTTATTGAATGATGAAACATAGATCAGAAAAATAAACAAAAAAATCAGGAGCTTGGTGCATTAACATAATTTCCAGCTAGCAATGAGCATGAATGTAAATTATGTTCCAAACATACTCTACACAAATTTAATTGGTCTATATAATTCACAGTAGTATAAAGAGAAGGTTAGGTTCGTGCAACCTTTACAAAGAGTATCACTCCACATGAACGCAAATCTGGAGTAGCTCTATAATAGTTTCGATCGTTTAAGAGTTAGAGAATTTAGATAAATTCGAGACATAGAAGAAGAGAGAAACAAAAAAGAGACATGCATATTGTAATAACATACCTCAGGGCATTTTGAGTTTGACAGACTATGTACCAGGCCATCATCCTGTCAAAGTAATGACATAATAATTTCACAAAGTGAAACTAAGTCTAATTATAAAGAATAAATAATTCATGGAAGAACTTTAGATATTGTCCATAAGTTTGCATACAATGATATCTTTGATATGGTACAAAGATTGAAAGATATATCTTGCATGTTTCGTAAAATGTCAAGCTTCTAAATGCAAAAAACTAAAAACCAAACATCTGGAATGGAATCAAGTGGCCACACTATCCAACAATCAGTAAAACTATATTGAGCGAAAATACTGTATTATAGAGATAAAAATATGGCCAATAAAACATGAGCATTCCATGACGGTTATTCTCCAAAAGTTCAAATTTCTTCTAGAGCACGGAGTTGATTGTCTATTTGAATACATTTTAAAAGAGCATAGCAATAGCATAATCTTGACCTTTATACAGTAAAATCTGCTACAATTCTAAATAAAACAATGAAATATATTAATGAAACAAAAACAGTTTGTCTTCAACCATTGGTATGTCATGAAATATCGAAACAAAAAACGGACTACATTACAACCATTTCTTCATTTAGCTTCTTATAAAATAACTATTGAGTAGAAGCATTCGAGAATACAAGATTCAACTGAAATTTCTGCTTATGCATTTTGGGTGGCTTCATTTTGTCCTTCAGCTATCAGTTTCATCATCATGTGACTACACCATGGGGAATCCATTTGTTGTTGACTTCATATGTATGGTTGTACCTCCCCTACCTGCTATGTCTAAGAAATATGGTGTACATCCAACATTCTTATCTTGTAGTTTTGACGGATCACATCGACTTGCTTTAAAGGGGGAAAAAAAGAAAAAGAAAAACAAATATAATTGTTGAATGACCACCTCAACCAAAAACTTAAGCTATTATTATCTAACACTAATATTTCCAATTCGCCCCTTAAAGTTCAAGCGAATTACATTTGAAGCCATGCACTTGAAATATTTGAAATGGGTGGCGGTGGGATTCGAACTCATGACCTTTCATTTGGTCTGACATGCACTGATACGATGTTGAATGACCTTTCATTATTTTCTATAATAATATCTCCCTGAAACTCACTTGAATGGTAACGGGAACCAGATCGAAGAATTTATAGAAAGCAGCATGCTTGCCAAGTTCAGAGTTGTGTTAAAGGAATTTAATATCTAATAACTTTAAAATTTCTTATGAAAGCACGACAGCGATTACAAGTGTTTTACATAAGGTGTGAGGTATTGCCTGTAGGAAGGAGATGGATGATTCAACCAGAGTCTAAAGATTAACTCATGATTTTTAATTTGGAGTAAACACAAAACTTACTAACTTAAAAAGGAAACTATCTATAGCCACTGGACCCTAACATTTAGAGGGAAAATATATGAATTGAAAAATATACGAAGTTCATGAACGAATAAAATCATTAAAAAATCAAATAATATAGAAGATAAAACGAACAAGGGGCATTAAAATTTTCGCCATCAAAATAAAAATCAAGGAAACAAGTTTATAGAAATAAATTACATGAAAAATAACTTTTAATTCCAAGTTATATTTCTCTACCATTAGACAACATAAAATCATCAGTCAAGTGCATAACATTTAGGGTAAATTTCACTTTCCCCCCTTATACTTTGGCTGAATATGACTTTCCCCCTTATACTCTCAATTGCATCGATTTGCCCTCATGTACTTGAAAAATTGTCTCAATGTGGCCATTGCCGTTAGTTTTCAGACCTTTGACCTTACACCATTTGATCTAAGTCTGAAAATTACAAAAAAGTCACCTCTCCTAGTTTAAATAATTATTAAAAAAATTGCGACAGACGTCGTGGACTATGTTTTCTCGTTGTCTTGAATTTTTTTTATTATTATTTTTTTCTTTTTTTTATAATAATTATTTAAATTGGGAGGGGTGGCGGTTTTGTAATTTCAGAGCTTAGATCAAACGGTGTTAATGTCAAATGTCTGACAACTAACAGCGAGAGAATTTTTCAAGTATAGGGGGCAAATCGATGCAATCGAGAGTAAAATGGGGTAAAGTGATACCGAACCAATGTACAAGAGGGGAATTGAAATTTCCCCTATAATTTATATCACTGACCAATAGATGTAGTCAAGCCACCTAAAGTGAAGTCTGGTGGTAACTAAAACATGACAAGCCAATATAACCATCTAATGCAAAACTACTAATAGCAATATAAAGCCCATTTAACAGATTATTTCATATTTATCCACTCACAATTCATAACATTAACAAAGATTAATAACATGGCATTTAACTTCCTATTTTCATAAATGGAATGTGGAATACCAAAAGCCACGAAAACTAAAATTAAATTATGGTTTCCAGAAAATGTATAGCTTAGTGTTGTTGGAGAAAGACTAACAACTTTGATGACAAGAAGAAACTAATTAAAATCGAAAGTCCTTACAAACTTCACGCATAACATTCTTAGTCACAAACTATATCACAATGAAGCTTACCTTCCAATACATAAATAAAGAATTGAACGGAAAAATAAAATGTAATTGCAAGTAAATCAAGTAAATTTAGTCGATAAAAGTTAAATCAATAATCCCCATGCATAGACCATTGATTTTATGAAACTGACACGTATTTTGAATTACCTGAGTTGAAATAATTTTAACATGTAAGATCTGATCAGAAAGATTCAAAGTCAATAATAGATATAACCCATACATGTTTCATTAGGTCAATTAATTCATATGAATAAAAGAATTAACTTAGTACATAGAAATAGGAAAAATATGCAAAATAACTTACGAACTTTATTAACAGATGCTCAATCCGGTCTTGATATGGAGGATTTATTCCTTCATTAATCTAGAAAACTTTATCAATTTCTCAAAATTTAGGGTTCAAAGATGGATGGAAGATATAGAAGGAAAAATGAGGGACGTAGTTGAGAAAATATTCAAACCATTAAACATAGAACTGAAAATAAAAAAGAAAAAGAAAAAGAAGAAGACGAAAAAGAAATTGAGAAGAGAAAGAAAAGATGAAAGAGAACTTGAAAATGGAAGTTACGATCATTTTCTTTTCTTTCTTTGGTGTAACTATGCAAAATTGAAATTCATATTGAATTATCGAGACCATTGAGTTTCTTTGAATTTCTTGTATGACTAACATTTAATAGATACACGAGTTCATCTTTTCTAGTGTCTTTGTACATTGAAGTCTAAAAAATATCAATTATTTTCATAAACATACATTAAAAGACTAATTATAAATTAATATTAATTAAAAATTTAATTTTGATGGGGGCATTTTGGTCCTCACAAAAAAGGGAAGAAACAACATTTGACTATTTTTTATAAGTAAAAACGTTACATCTAAAAGAAATGCAACGTACAAAAGACGAGAGAAATTACAGACCAACCACTCATGGCTACTCGACGGATCCCATTTTTTAACAGCAACCGCCATTCCAGTTCCGGGCTTTGTGGCAGTAAGAGTGTGTTCGTTAAGCCACCCCTTATAGATAGTACCGATTCCTTCTTCCCCTAAATGGAAATCGAATCGGAAGTTTTTCGTTGCCTTTTTCAAGTCTTTAAACGGAATGGGCTGTGCATCACGTTCAGAAAAGGCGTGAACCATAGCTATGACACAATACATAAGCGCCACGATATTCGACTGTGGGCCGTCCATACCCCAAGCTAACAATTCAATAATTCAATAATCAACATGCATTACTTCGATGTTAAGTATTCAGTAAATTAACAACTCATATAGCTATGACCGGGTGTTTCTTGAAATTCCATCTTCCAATGTATAGTCTGTATGT